TGTTCGAGAAGAATCAGTGGAACCGAATGTGGAACCAATAATGTTAGCGTAGCATAGCCTACAATGTCACGAGAGGCTGTAAGAGCCTTTTCAGCAGCTGCCACAGCTCGAAGGCACTGTGGTAAGCCTGCTGCTACCGGATCGAGTTTTGCGGAGAAATAAGCTACTGGTCGTAGTTTATCGCCATGGGATTGTAGGAGCACTGATGTCATACATCCAGAACGTTCATCAACGGTTTGTGTGAACGGTTTGAGAGGATCAGGAAGACCCAAAGTCGGAGGAACTTGTAACGCGCATTTCATGTCCGTGAAAGCTTGAGAGGCTGCAGGGAGCCACTGAATTTTATCATGCGCGCTGAGATTTTTCCCATGTATCAATGCGGACAGAGGTTGCTCGAGTTGGGAGTAATTTGGAATAAATGACCTACAGTAGGAACACATTCCCAAAAATGACATCATCTGTTTCTTGGTTTGTGGTTTATAGTGTCTTCCCTTCACCGGAAATGTTATGGCCTAGGAAATGAACGTTCTGTGAAACAAACTGTAGTTTGGATAGGCTGGCCTTGTGTCCTTCCGCTGCTAAGTGTTGAAGCAATTTGAGTGTGTCCTGTTCACACTGCTTTTGTGTTGGAGCTGCAATTAAACAGTCATCAACATACTGCAAAAGCGCTGTTCCTGGAGACAAAGTGAGGCTCTCCAAACTTTCCCTAAGTGCCTCGTTGTAGATCGTAGGTGATTCTGTGTAGCCCTGACACAAGCGTGTGAAAGTGTAAGGCTTGCCATTGAAATTAAACGCAAACCAAAACTGACTGTCAATGTCCACAGGGACACTGAAAAAAGCATTTGAGAGGTCAACCACGGAAAACCATCGAGCATCAGGTGGAACCTGTGCCATAATGGTGTAAGGGTTGGGAACATTTGGGGCTCGTGCGTGGACGGCTGCATTAACGGCTTTCAGGTCCTGCACGAAGCGCCACTCAGTTGGTTTGCCTGCATCTCTGATCTTTTTAACTGGAAAAATAGGTGTTCTTACCGGCGAGTCAGGACATGGAACAATGACTCCGGCCTTTAAGAGGGAGTTGAACACCGGTGTTATACCGTCAATGGCCTCTTGGCGCAGTGGGTATTGATGTTTGTGGGGACGGAAGTCTGATCGAGGAGTGATGACCACAGGTTGACATTTTTTGATGAGTCCCACGTCATATTTATGCGCTGCCCACAAGGTGTCTGGAACAGAACTGAGGGCAGGAGAAATAGAGGAGACATTAGTCAAAAATGTATCAGTGTGTGTGTCAGAAAATATGTTATTTTCATTCATGACATAAACAGATCTGAGAGCAGGTGTGCAAAATGCGAATGGCTGTTTAAAGAAGCCTGTCGACGGAGAGCGCATCACAAGTGGATCTGGTGTAGCCTCCCAATCTGCCAATGCCTCGCACGCTGTGACAAAAGGTCCCAAATCTCTCCATTGGTCTGTTGCTGCTTTAGACAAGGAGATGTGTGGGAAAGAAGAGTCCACATTAAAGAGGTGCTGCTGAGAGGGGGTGAGAGAAACGGAAACAGCACATTTAAGTGTGGACCAAAACAATGTCATACATGCAATTTGATCATTCAGATCCTGTAGAAATAATGCATCATATTGCTTATCTGGCCCATGTGACACATGAGCTGTGCAGTGGAGATATGAAGCATCCATGCACTCTGCCTCAGGCTGGACGCGTGATGCTGCCAGGTGGGACAATTCTGATTGTGAGTCAACCGGAAGCCACCACTGGTACACAAACATTGGATCACTTATAACTGTCTTTGCCATCTGGTCAATGGCTCTGCATCTCACCACTTGCAACCCTGTAGGAGTGGAGATGAGGCTAATGCCGAAGGAACACATGAGGTCTCTGCCCATTAGATTAATGGGACAGCAAGAGGACAGCAAAAAGGAATGTTTTACTGTGATGTCTGGTTCAGGGTCAGTTGAGTCAGTGTGTGTACTGGTCATAGGTGCCGTAAATCTCTCTACAATAGTCATCCCTGAAGCTCCTTGTGAGAAAACCTGTTTTCTACTAAGTTTCTGACCTGGAAAATACTTGTTGTATTACAGAATGTGTAGCCCCCGAATCAACCAAAAACGATAAAAGTTTCCCTTGAATTTGCACCATAGTGGTGGGCATATTTTCAAATGATTTTCCTGAAAACTTTGCATATGTGTGTTTAAGTGAAAGCTTTTGTTGTGTTCTCCATTGCTCTGTGATGTCCATGAGAGCTTGTTGTTGCTCCGGTGTGTGTGTGTGTGTGAGTGTGAGTGTGCGTGCAGGGAGTTAGTGCAGAAAGCGTTTCTTCATTGCAGGCTGCGGTGTGTGTGTGTTTTACTTCCCTTATCATGTGAGGCCTCAGCATGGTTGCCGTCTCCCCCTCACATGCAGCCTCCTCCCCCTCCGCCTCACGTCAATCGGAATGTGCGTTGCCACCCCTTCCTCGTCTGGCCAGTCCACGCCCCCATCCTCTACGAGGTGCTTTTTGTGGACATTCTCTGTGCCAATGTCCTTGTTCGCCACAGCGGAAACGCGTATCATTGTCATTGGGTCGATACAGCTGTGATCCCTCCTGGTTCCAGGAGGAGCGTCCCCTCGTCATGCCCCGACCACGCCCCCTGAATCCGCCCCGTTGGTTGGGATCCCGTGGGCGGTCGTTTCTGGCAAGTTGAGTGACAGCTTGGAGCATAGTCAGTTGGGCGAGTTCAATCTGACGTGACCGCCTTTTCCCCTCGTGGTCAGTTCTCTCTATATCCATGGATTGCGCATGCGCAGCATGTTTCTTTACATCCGCGAGTCGCGAGTCTTCCATTCCAGCAACAGAGCGCTGCACATTCATTTTTATGTCGGGCAATAGTCCATTCATGAAAGCATTCTTCAGGTGTGATTCCCACATCCCCAGAGCGTCTCCTAACGCGGCGGGTTGTGGAATGCCACTGTTAAGATTAAACACTGTGAGAAGTCTTTGGTAGTAATCATGGACGGACTCACCCGCTGCCTGCTTGGTATTGTTGATGGGAGTCATATCCACTTTGTCAGGGAACAATGTCTTTATGCCGTCGTTCAAAGCCGTGAGTGCGTCTCTGTACGGCTTATTTTGATTTGTACTCCATTCAACGTCGGCCGCACTGGTGTCTCCTGCAACCAGCTGGTTGAGCTTTTGGTAGTGAGTCGGACCCACGTGACTCATTAGAACACGTCGAATTTCAGCAAAGTTGGGCAGGAATTGCTTACAGAAGTCCATGAATGCTTCAGCAAACACTCTTCCCGAGTGCTGTATCGGCGGGAGATGAGCCATTGCAGCTCTAATGTCCGTATCAGTCCAAGGCCGGAAAACAAGTATGGGACTGAGTGTCCTGGTACTTGAATCATTGGGGTTTGGGGCACAGATTTTGCATCCGGGGGAACTCCCTCTGGGTCGAAAGAGGGGGAAACAACATCTGATGTAGATGGTTGCTCTGCAATCAGTTTGTTGATGGCAGAAGTGTCCCCTCCGGTTGCTCCTGGAGAGCGAGAGCGAGTGAAGAGTGCAGCCTGTCTCTTTTCCTCCTCTTCGCCGAGGAGTCGTTCCTGTGCTGCTTTCACTGCCGCTTCCTTTTCCTCCCTCTGCCGGGTGTAGTGAACTTTTGGATCGTGTGACCATGCAGACGAAGGTTGCTGGTTCGCAGGTGAAGCAGGGTACGGCGGTGGGCATGTGTTGAGGAGAGGACCGCCAGCCCCTGTGAGACTCGGATACAAGGGAGAAGAAGCACATCATTTTGTTCAATAACATTTGGATCTGGTTTTTCAACCAATGTGGTTTTTGCGCATGTCAATTCTTTAGCCATTTGTTTCCTTTCTCTACATTCACATTCATCCTCCCACCATTTTAACCATTTACTTTGTTTCTCAATGTCCTCCAAGTCTTTGCCTTTTATCACCCTCTGAGTTTTTATACCCTTCTCTTTTCCCTCTAAGCCTGTTCGTAACATGTTCAGTTTTATTCTACTGAAAGAACCATTTGCAGGGAACCCAAAATCTTTTGACCACTCGGGCAAAAACTCTAGAGATTGATCTCCATATTTCCTTCTCATCAGATCCACAATGGGTCCCTCCGGAGAACCCATTTCCTTTTTACTTTTACCGTGTACACCACCCATCTTTCAGGCGTGGTGAAGTATACTTTTTATTACTTAAAATATAGTCGTCACTATAAGTCTTGATTTTCTTTTACGTAGGAAAAATACAAGTTAAAACCCAACCAGAACTATTGGTTAATAAATATAGGTCAAGGACGCAAATATCTGTTTTCAGATTACTGTCCGAAAACCCCGATATTGTTCCTGTCTTCCTGTTAGGTCAAGGGCTGAGATTTTGCGATTTCAGTGAACTCTCAAAATCCCTCCTGTCTTCCCCTTCGGTCAAGGGTCACAATAATGCGTTTTCAGAGTGTTAGTCTGAATACAATCGTAATACGCAAATTGCCCCTGTCTTCCCCTTTGGTCAAGGGTCACAATTATGCGATTTTCAGATAGTTAGTCTGAATACAATCGTAAATGCGCACATTGCCCCTGTCTTCCTCAGTAAAAAGTTTGATGCTGATGAACCGGAAATACTGTATAATTACTCCTATAATTTTATACACATTTTTCAAATAACCGGATAAAAAGACAAGTTATCACCATTAGAAGCCCAATCAAATAACCGAAATTTGGATTTTCTAAGAAGAGAGAGAAAAAATAATTTAAAAAAATCCCAAAGTACTAAATACCCGTCTTTGTAAACTGTTATCACCCGTTATAATTCAGAAAACCCCGTTTGAAAATCAGAATATCAACTTCTTACCCGATTTGTGTGAAAATCTTCCTCATCGGATCGTGTTGAAGCCAATCAGGTCTCTTTTGTTCGCCGGTCCCCTCTCTCTGAGTGTGATGAGGTATAGGGCAGAATCACGTTTGGTGGATCCTGAAGGGGTCCCTTCCCGGACGTCCTCGGAGTCCCGACGGAGCTTCAAACGATCCCACTTCTGACACCAAATTGTGGTGGAAGATTTTGCACAGACAATCGTTAAGTAAGAAACAAAGGCTCTGAGTCAAGTATGTCTTTTCTCCGTTTATTTCCTTGCAAGGGAAAAAGGGTCACAACAGCTACATGGTCAGTAGACTGTCAAGAACCTCCTTTTTCCCCCCCAACACATCGAGGCAGTTCTTATACCTAAGTTTAGATATCGGTGGCGTCAACAGAAACCTTTGACCATCCTGTTGAGTCTCTACAGCCAGGGTACTGGGAACATCTTGTCCATGTGAGACACGTCAGTTCTTTGACCGTGTCCTTGCTCTCCCAACATGCTAAAACAAAGGTGGTCATAGACATGACGAACACTTTGTTCAATCTCTACAGCTATGACGCTGGAACCATCTAATCCAAGTGGGAGACATCAGTTCTTATGTCAGGGCCTTTGTGATCGAACCACTTGCAACTAATAAACTGGTTATACAAATGAAGCATTTAAAAGGGTCACATATCATTTTCCCATTACAAGGTGAAGCGTACCTTTACAGTCTGTTTGGTGGTAGTGATGAATGCTTTCCTCTTGGACAGCTCGGCTGCATCCAGATTGAACTTCTTTGGGTTGGACTCAACAATGCGTTCACTGAGAGTTAAGAGGCATGTTTATCTGAAAAGGTTCATACTTAAAATGGCTGAGCTCACAATAAGCAAACAAAAAAGAACACTTCTGGTTTTCAAGGATATTGATTGTCTCGTCGAGGTCCTCCAGGTCCCACTCGATGGAGCGCAGACTGTTCCTCAGTTCATTGGTCGTCCAGTCCATTTCCTCCTTGGAGGCCCCGCCCCCCTCCTGCAACAGCTCGCTCCATCTGTGATGGAGGCTCTGTGCTGCGTTGACAGCCTTCTGCACCTCACTGTAACAAACAAACATAACGCATCAGTGATGGTGACTCTGCGTTGCCTTCAAAGCCGTACTAACATCAGGATGCAGCAATCAGACAATAACAACACTCTGGCTGGATACCGATCCGCCACCAATGTCTGATCAATACACAGCCCACCTCCATGTGTGGAAGGGACTAGCACCCTTCTTCCAATATGTAAGAATATGGGGTCGTCGTGGCGCAGGGGGTAGAGCGGGTGCGCTGGGAACCGCAAGGTTGGTGGTTTGAGTCCCGGCTGCCCCATGTCTCAAGTTGAAGTGTTCCTGAGCAAGACACCTAACCCCTAATTACTCCCTGGGCTAAGTGTGAAAAAGCCATGGGTTTAAAGTGTAATGTAAATCGCTTTGGATAAAAGTGTCTGCTAATTGACCTGTAATGTAATGTAATGTAAGATACAATCAGACCAAACAAACAATCCTTCCTGACTTTTAAACTAATAATACATCTGAGGGAGTTGTCATGTCTGTAACAATTATGAATTTGACAATACTGGTTAGTAGAAGGGAGGCGTCTTTAATTATTCAGATTGTTAATTTGAAAATGTATGATTAAGTACAATATGGGCTGGATGATAAGCATTTAAAAGTCGATATAATGAATTCACCGTCACCAGCAACGGCATAGTGGACCGCCACAGCCTCCGTAGTTCATGGGACACACTGATGGTAACTGATCTCAGATCAGACTAGTCAACAATACGCGATCCAGCCGTTTGAGTTCATGTTAAACAGGTACAAGATATTGGTACAGAAGCACGTTACTATAAAACACCATCACACACACAGACTTTCAGCTTCAGATCGAACAAAGCGAACCCTGTTCAATGTCTCATTTATTTAACTGCGGTTGGCTCCATCGAAACTGCTGTTGCTTCTTTGTTTACATGCAGCGGCTTCCTCGGCGGAGGCGGGCCACTGACGTCACGAAACTGTTCTTCTTCTAGTGTTATTCTGGTATTCACGTGTAGCTGATTTGAGCATTTCTGCCGCCTTCTGTTTGGGAGTTTAAATCAGCCAACACTAAATCCTTAAAAAAGATAACTACACGAAATCGTTGAAAATACACTTGTTTGTTGTGTAATAATTATTCAGATAAATATGCAGCGTTTGCTGTTGTACGTCATTTAAGACAGATTCTCATTATCTGTTCATCTTACACTGTTTTAACATTATATACTGTAAACGTTCTTAGAGAACAGCCAGCTATACATGTCTTTAGCTGTAAATACTAACAATATAGTATATGTAGCAGCCGTCTGCCACTTCCTGTGTGTGAGTGTTGGTACTTTTATTTTGAAATGTAATTAGCATCAGAATCACGTGGGCAGGTGTGCAGTGGTTTATGAATGAGCGTAGGCATCTAGGCGGAGGGATGGTTGTATTGACATGGGGGTGAGTCGGGAGACGATACTTTTTGTTGACCGTATTCTACAGCGCACTTTATTGCATCGTCGCACAGCATGTATCACTTCGCCTGCTTGGATGTTTTTTAACTTGACTTTCGGACAATAAAATCAATGAACTTCACAGGAGGAATCTGCGTCTGTTTGGAACGAGTCCACACACCAATCTCCCGTACTTAGCCTCACGTGACTCTACCGGATTGTAGTCACCACAGTATATGTTACACTATACCCTGTATATTTATTATGCTAATACTATATTGTATATTACATTATATTCTGTATACATAGTATGTACTTACTGAGAGAATAGTAAACTATAAACGTTGTTAGCCATAAATACTGTACTTTAGTACAAGTGTCATGTCATTGCTACTGATACATCTGAATGCATTCACACAGATTAGTAACAAAAGTATGCTCGGGAGAAAGTGGAGGTGGTTTCCACACATCAATATATCTGCACCAAATGAAAAAATGTACCTAAAAGCATGAAGCATATACTATTAGTGTCACAAAAATAGGGGAGACATAAAGTAACATCAAGTCTTCAAGAAACGTGGCACGTGGATGTGCTTCGAGTGCCCCTTGCGTGCAACATCACACTAGACAACGCATCCTCGTGTACTGTTGACACCGGAAAATACGTAATTATGTCTTCAGAATAAATGTGATCATTTGTCAATAGGGTTTTGAATTATTAGAAAAGTAATAATACAAATGAGTTAAACTTTCAAGTGCATGATGCATGCGTGACTTCTGTTCAGTTACAACATGGTTTAATTCACATTTTCTGATAGATTGACTCCACCACATTGCTGGTGTATTCGCATTTGTTGTGTATGTTTTTTTTAAAGGCAAAGATGACTAATTGTGCATTCTTTAACGCTAGAGGTTTAGTAATTATGAGAACCTTTAGACAGAACTTTTTCGTTAGCTTTGTTTATATATGTTTAAAAAAAAAAAGAGTTCCTGGTCCGATCACTTTTATTTTGAAGGATTCAAGCCGGAAACTGTCATGTTATTGCCGCTGGCGGAACACGCGCGAGGGAAAATCAGTTAAAAAGCGTCAAAGTAGATCAACTTAAATGAACTAAGACAGTCGTTTTGTTATGTGTTAAGTGTTTCTTTTGTGGCATATGCACAGGAGCAACCAACGGCGGTCACACTAGCAACTAAACTAAGTAACAACTAACGTTAGGTTAGCGCGTAAGAGCATATTGTATTGCTATGTGTGCTAGTTTAGGATAGCTAACGTCACTAGCGATTGTTAAAGCACGCCGACGTTAAGCTAACTTAGGTCTAAATTGTACTTTAAAATAAACCATTTAATTTGTGTTTTTTTTCCCCCTAGACACTTTACAAGAAAAGTGGGGACATTTGTCACATTGTCGTTAGCTTCCGTCGGGAATGTCGCCTCCTATGTATGTGTCGTGTTACGGTCGCAGGAGTCATGAAGGGTCCACGCGCATCTCGGACAGCGAGTCGGAGGAAGAGGTAACGTTACGTTTACCGAGCTCACGCCGAGCCTCCTATTCCACCCATGTTCCCTTGTGATCTACCCCGGCTAATGTAAAGCTGTTAACATTTAGCGCTGATTTGCGGGTTCTCTCCCGCAGACCAAGCTCCCCCTCAATCAGTTCTACCCGTATATCCGCTGCGCCCTTTGCTGCGGCTTCTTCATCGATGCTGCCACCATCACGGAGTGCCTGCACACATGTGAGTCGGATCTGAAGTTCACTTTGGCTCTTCCAGGACCACGAAGGGCTTCAATGGGTTCCTCTCTTGGCGATCTGAACTTTGTTGGGGCGACAGTAAACAAGAGGACTCCTAATATTATGCCACTAAGTTGTCAGGATGCACATATAAACATTTATTTCCTAGCACGACATGTGTCAGATTTAACTAGACCTACGCAAAAGGACAGGTGATAAGCCCTGAGACATACTACGCTTCACCGGTGTCTGCATGAGCTCATCATGGCAACAGAAATATCAGTGTCTCCATTTCTTGTCGAGCAGTGATCTCTGACAAGTTGAGAAAAAACATACTGCTCTTTAAATATTGCAAGCATACTATAACAGTACTTCCAACATTAAGTAATTGAGTAATTTGATCTAAAGTATTTATCTGTTTAATCGGCCTTGACGGTCCACATTAGTCTGGTCATGCAACACTCATAAGGTCCCGGTTGTGTCTGACATTGCTGTGTGTTTTTTTTCTTTCTTTTTTCTTCTCCTAGTTTGCAAAAGTTGCATCGTGAAGCATTTTTTCCACAGCAACAGGTGTCCTACGTGCAGCATCGTTGTCCACCAGACGCAGCCGCTGTACAACATCAGGTAGCGTTACGTCTGTTACTTCTCAATGCTTTGGCTGACTTTACATAATGTTACATTACAGGTCATTTAGCAGAATTACATTTTTAACCCATGGCTTATTAGATTTTGCCCGGGGAGCAATTAGGGGTTAGGTGTCTTGTTCAGGGACACTTCGACATGGGGCAGCCGGACTCGAACCGCCAACCTTGCGGCGCCGCGACAGCATAGTCTGCTCTACCTGTTGGATTAATAGATGATTGTCACACAAAACATTTAGGTTTTTTTAAGAGGGGGAAAGCATTAAATAAATATTCTGGAAATTGGGATGCATTCAGTTTATAGTTACTTAGTTTGTTGTCAAGACTTGACTTTTTTTTTCATGATGAATTCTGGAGATTTGGGGATTAGAGATCTGTTGTCGATGTCCGTGTTGAGCTTCAAACTCTCTTCCTCTGTTTTTCCTGTAGACCCGACAGACAGCTGCAGGACATTGTTTACAAAATGGTTCCCTTCCTTGAGGCATGTAAGTACGGTATAAAAAGGAGTGTAGTTTAAGGTTGTTTTCTGTGCACTATTTGTAATTTTCTTTTTTTTTTTGTAACAGCTGAAAGAGTACAAATGTGTAACTTCTACAAAGAGAGAGGGCTGGCAGTGCCAAAAACAGGTAATAGTTTACTGTTAAAGGTTTAAGTAAACCAGCTACACACACATACAAACACCTCTTTGCTATTGGTGTAGGCTGCTTTTTTGCTTATTTTTGAAGTTTGTCCCGATAAGCAAATGTCCCCCCTCTGTGTTCTCTGCTGCAGTGGTCGTCTCCCCTCCGGGTCCCGTGGTGATAAAGAGGCAGAAGAAAGAAAACCTTCCCCAGTCTGTGTTCACCATTCCTCCTGAGCTGGACGTATCTCTGCTGCTGGAGTTTGTCGGGTAAGAATCTACTGCGACTCTCCAGCATTCGCCACATCGAAGGTACTGAGCTTCCGCGTGTACGTAGGCGTGACACGTCGTGAAAGTTGAATTGTTCAGCTCGATATTGAGGTGTTTTGATTGGTTAATAAGCCACACCTGGAGTTGCCTTCTGATCCTCAAATAGCGGTGCATTTGTCGGCTTTGCTTTTCTTATTACGCTGCGTGTAGCCAAATAGATCAGAGCAGATTTGACATGTTTAAGAACATTTCTGTGAGAAAGGCCTTGTGTTCTGTTTGTCCTGATTAGAAAATGCAAACACCAGTTCAGTGTGAAGTAGCCGTACCATTTCAGCGAGGGGGAAACCAAACATCCTGCAGGTTCATAGCCGTCAATTCGCCTTGTGTTCCAGGTTGACTCATTAATTAATTAGCGCTGCTCTCTTGTTGATAGATAGATGCACGACAAGCTGTGGGTTAAAGCATGCACATTTGCTGATAAACTGAGCGCACAGAGTTCGCATGGCACTTTGGTGATTTTGAGGAACAAAAAAAGAATTTCGGTTGTTTCGCAACCCATTTGCCGTGAACGTGGAAACTGCACCTGTGCAGATTCCGATGGAGCTGATTGCACTGCAGTGTAATGGGACACTAAAAACCAAGTACGACACTGTTTATTCACTCCATTCCTGCAGCAATGTCCCAGCTCCGTCTACATGCGGCTCGAACCTTGTGCGTGTTTGGTAGCACATATCTGTGTGAGAAGCTGTTCTCAGTGATGAAGACAAACAAAACAGCACACAGTCTCACTGATGAGCGCTTCAGTCCATCCTGAGAGTCTCCACAACACGGGACCTCACGCCAAACATAAACCAACTTGTTGCCAAAAAAAGATGCCAAGCATCCAGCTCTGATAAAATGGCATAAGAGCAAAGAAAACTGAATGTTTTGATTCGTTATTTGTTATTGCGGAAAAGGACAAATTTTATTTAAATTTCCAGGTTTTGTTTTGCAGCATGTTCATATTTCTAACTTGTATAATTTTGACAGGAGATATTTTTATGGAGAGTAAAATCATTTGGGATATTTAAAATCTAAGGTTTTTTTTTATATAAAATGACAAAAGCAAAGAAACTTTTTGTCAAGTTTTTGATTTGTTACTTTAATGTTTACTTAAAGCACAAGCACTGTCACAATTGTTTGTTTGTTTTTTAAGGTTTTTTGCAGCATGTTCATATTTCTAACTTGTATAATTTTGACTGGATATATTTTTATGGAGAGAAAGATATTGACGCATGACTTGCTACAAAGTACAAAAAAGTTGTTCTCCATATTTATTGACTCCTGTTTTGTTTTCAGGGCTGAAGAGGGCATCAATAACTTTAAGGTATGAACTTTAAATACAAATGTCACTGGGTTATAACAGAAACTATAGAGAAGAAATGGATGATTGCTTGATGCCTGTTGCACAGCGCTTATCTGGCTGTCCTGTAGCTGCGGGGGCTGTTGGATATACCGCCAAGAATCGTTTTGTCTCACATCGTTTAATTAGTCATCAATTTCAAATAAGAGCCTTTTTAAAATGTTTTGACTCAATTCCATTCTTTCAAAGAACTTTGATTCGGTCTGTTCCTCCCTGACCTTCCTGTTGTTGTTCAGCCGTTAGAGAGGCGGTACGTTCGCGTGTCTGGCGAGGCCACCGTCCGCCACGTGGAGCTGTTCATCAGGAGGAAGATGGAGCTGAGCGCCACCTGCCAGGTAAGTCTGCCAGGGCTTGATCACGATGGTTGCTTTATACAGACTTAGAAGTGGGACAGCAGAGGAAAGAGTGCAGGCGTGCACAAGGAACGGGGTCACGCTGATGGATGTCAATGAAGGAGGGGGGGTTACGAAACACGTGGTGGAGGAGGATTAGCAGCTTATGTTGATGTCCTGGCCCGTCTGGATGAACCCAGAGAAAAAAGTTACCAGCAGGTCACAACAGTTGAATAACTGCTCCTTTTTACAATTCTTATTATTATACCTTTTTTTTTTTTTGAACCATTGGAACTGAACCTTGTTCCTGGAGGTTTTTACTCTACCCGGAATTTTTGAAGTTGCTTGAGATTTAATGGCATGATCACAAACATATTTTCTGTGTAGGTTGATGTGGTTTGTGGAGACCAACTCCTGGATCACTACCAGTCACTCAAAGACGTGCAGAACTCTGTGGGCGAAGAGGCGCTGCAGGTGAGCCCTTCACAGGCGCAACATGTAACCGGTGCATGTTAAATGGTGGCGAAGGCCAGGAGAACCTATCAGTCATGCTGTTGGTGTCCCTTCTGCTGCAGGACGGTCTGTTGGTGCTGCACTTCGGCCTGGTCCTTCCCTCCAAGTCCTAAAAACGAGGGGGTTCTTTTCTCTTGATCAGACCGTTAACCCAACGTGGAGAAAAGTTTCTACATTGGCATTGTAGGTCCTCCACAGCGGCCCGAGATGCCTCGTTAGGATCGTCGCCAGCGAGACATTTTTCAACCTCCACTCCTCTGCTGGCGCCGTGGCGTCAAATGTTCCACTCGAGACTCGTCGCCTGGTGTTCGGGTGGAGCCGTGTCGGAAGTGTGCTTCCACGGACTGCTGCCACAGCTGAAGGTGTCCCGTGCTTCCTACTTTGGGTCTGTGAAGGGGACACGAGGTCTAATCTGAGAAGATGCAAGCGTTTACGTCTCTATTTATGATCTGAGGGCTGAGTCGGGTTACGGTAGTTAGTTGTGATTCTTAAGGGCTTAAAAATACAACTACCAAAGGTGTGTGTGTTTGCTGGTCAGGGTGTGGGTTGTAGGGTTAGGGTGTTTTTAATTAAAACTTGCTTGTTGTACACTTACTTATTTAATTTAAGAACTTTTGTACAGGCTGTCTTTCACCGGATGGCAGAAGTAGTGTATTTTTTTATACGGTTCCTTGAAAATGTTTCACCTACTTGATTTTGTCAGAATTAATTAATAAATCCTAAAACCCTTTTGTGATTCATCCATATTCCCTGTTTTGTATTTATTTTAAGATATTTGTTACCAGCATACACTAAATGTACACGCTAAACTGTGACATAGTTTAGTCTACCAAGGTTTATCATCTTTCAAATGTAGCTTAAAACAATTAGCTGAAACCAGCTAATCCATCATACAGACACATTATTTTTGTGGGTATAGATATTCCTAGAACCTATTTCCGATGAGTGCTTTTAAAGTGTCCGATCCCTCTCGGTGTGAGTTAGAGAAACTGAGTCTATAAGAATTCCAGCTTTATAAAAAAAAAAAAAAAGATAATGGAGCATTTTTGATGCAATTTGACTACTGCTTTTGTTTTCATTTGGTCTCTTTTTTTTTAACAAATATCCTCCCCAGTTGTGAATATGCTAACTTGCATAATGACAGCAGAGATAACCATGGTCCATCATGTAAATTTATTCATTGCAACTCAATAAAAAGCACAGAAAGCATTTTTTTTAGGAGTACACATCAGTGCAGCTAGGTGGACAAACAACTTTTCTAAATATTCCCAGCTAATGCTTTGCAGTGTAAGGGAATAAACCATGGTTGCTATTCCTTTTTAATTACTTTTCCAACACAGAACAATGTATCTGTTGTGTTAGCAATGCAGAGCACATCTATATTTTGCAATGAAATCAAACACAATGTAACGCGGCCTGAGGTGCTCTAATAAGTATATTTCTACTCGCATTGCAGTTTAACAGTGCAACATGAAAAGATACAACAACAGAGACGTGGAACCCCCACTAACAATAGTTTTCTTTTTTGTAAGTTAAATGTCGCACAACCGCAACTTTCAAATTCTTGATGCATCTTTAATGTTTAAATTTCTTCAGCATTATCCATTTCCTCTGGATATGCACAGTGCATTTGGTCCAAATGTTCGTCAGATTCCTTTACAATTTTGCAATACTCCATCTTTAAAAACTGACACACTCTCCAGGAAAAGGAACGTATTGATTATCACCCCAACGACTGAATGTTCAGCTCTACGCACTCACTATGCACGACTACATTCCCCAGTCTGCCTTCCTTCAGTTGTTGGAGTTGATGTCGGCCTCATCTTTCTCCTCGCTGCTCTCCTTGAAGCTCTCCTTCTTGACCCCGTCTTTTTCCCTCTGGCTTCCCCGGGAGGAGCCGGCCGAGCCCTTTGGCTGGTACCCGTAGCCGGCGGCACCGAACGACATCCCAGAGTTAAAGTGAGTCTCCTCCCCCTCCAGCAGTTTCCTCGTTTGGGACCAAAGCAAACAAATGTCAGACCGGACACACACAGACTCAACGCACCTCACAATGCCCGACGGGAACCTCAACGGGCCCACAAAGCCACAGAGATCTTTGGGTGCGGCTCAGCACCTGTAGGCCGCGATCTCAATGTCCAGCGCCATCTTGACATTGAGCAGGTCCTGGTACTCCCTCAGGTGCTGGGCCATCTCGCCCTTCATGTTCCTCAGCTCAGTGTCCAGGTGGCCGATAGTGTCCTGTTACACAGGAAACCAGGAGAGGAGGGAGGATTATCCCTACGGTTAAACATTCATGTACTTTATTCGTTTACCGTATCCAGACTGTTTTTAATCCACTATGATACAGGCTTTGGCTGTGCTGCGCCCTTTGGAAGGCAGTAACCTAACCTAAGCTCCTCTGAGGCCTTCCTGTATACGATTTAGCATGTCAGAGGTTAATCTAATAAAAACGCAGGGTCAATTGGCTCAGGCTTGCTGAAGCCACTGCCTCACCCGAGAAAAGGCTGTGTTCGGGATGCAGACCTTGAACCCGAATTAGAGGATTCAGACTCTAGATTGTTCTATTTCTGTTGCCTCTCAACATGGTGCCGCCTGAGCCCGCGGCTCACAGCTAATCTCGCTATCGGGTCAAAGCTGCCGACACGGCTGAGATTGGGAACCAGAGGGTCAGCGCTACGCTAACGCAGCGATGCCGGCAGTCGGGACGGCGTTATCCAGAGTCAAGCAAAGCTGGACATTTTGCAAAATATTGAAAAGATCGAAGCTGTTCTGTCTATTGGTTAAATGTGAAGCTACTGCCAGTTAGCGTAGCTCATACAGAGACAAACCGCAGGAGGAGACTGTTAGCTTAGCTCTTTCCAAACCTTCCTGCCAGAAACTCTAAGCTAACTAGCCCAGTAAGTCATAACATATTTTGGGGAAATGTAATCTCTACAAATTTAGTTTGTTGTATGCTTAGGCTTACGGCCGTTTCAGAATAAACAAAAGAGGCAACAAAACTAGGAAATTTATCCCGTGGGATATCTATGAGTTGCAGCAAATTATTTTCTGTAGGAACAGCTACGAACGCTACATATTTTTGGAGAGCCGGCGATTAACTCAATACTAGCCCCAGTTTTTGAACCAAACATGGGCAAAGTCAAAAACTCGTAGAGCAAACAAGAGCGTATGAGCGATTGCCTTAAATTTGTGAAGGGTCAGTCCGCTGGATTCCTTTCCTGGGCTCAGTCCTTGACACATAAAGGTCGGCCCCCTGCTGTGTGCCGTTAGCTAACACCTTTACTCTGAATGTGACATAATTCACGAGGACCCCAAATTCTGCTGTCCTCCAATCCCATTATTCAGAGTTGTTGACAATGATGTCTTCCACGCACACTGCGCCAGCAGTTCTCCAGCAAATTCCTCTGTCACAATTTTAAAATTCTAGTAAGTACAATATTTGTCATGTGTAATATGATAACCACCAAAATGAACGCACAACGGACGTTTCTCATGGATACTTCACAAGGACTAGGGTACAGTAAGTGGGATTGCTCGCCTGCATGGCTGTGGTTTCGGCGGCTTGTGCCTCCTCCATCTCTGCGATTTGCCTCTCCAGGGACTCATTGGCGCCCCTCAGGCTCTCTATCTCGATGGTTTTGGACTGCAGCTGCCTCCTGGACTCACTGATCTCCTCCCTGCTGGCCCTCATGGCCTCGTTGGTCCTGGTGGCCTGCTCGCTGAGGCTGGCGAACTTGCTCTTGTACCACTCCTCGGCCGACTGCAGGTTTTTGGAAGCGATGGACTCGTACTGGCTGCGGATCTCCTTCAGGGCCGAGGTGAGGTCCGGCTTGGCGATCTCCAGCTCAACGGAGACGTGCTGCTCCTCCATCATGCTGCTCAACTCCTGGATCTCCTCGTCGTGCACTTTCCTCAGGAAGGCGATCTCGTCCATGAGCGACTCCAAGCGGCGCTCCAGGTCCAGGCGGATGGCCGTGGCGTCGTCCACGTCCTTCCTGAAGGACCTCAGGGTCTGCTCGGCTTCCTCGCGTGCCCTCATCTCCTCGTCGCACTTCAAACTGAGCTTCTAATATGACACACGAGAGGATGGGAGATGAGAGGGGCCGCCAAGGGAAAGTAACCAAATGATCTCATCATCACGTGTTCTTACCTGCAGCTCGTCCTCCATGTTGTTCCTCTCGATCAGGATGCGGTTCTTGTCCCTGCTCAACTCCTCCACCTGAGTCCGCAGATCCCTTAGCTCCTGCTGGTAGAGGTGGGCGACGCGGGACGGCTCGCCCTGCCTCTGCCGCAGCGTCACCAGCTCCATCTCCAGCCCCTTGTTCTGCTGCTCCAGGTGCCGGACCTTATCGATGAACATGGCGAAGCGGTCGTTCAGGCCCTGAGTGACGGGATCAATGCGGGTGATTAAAGCTCCTGCACCAAATCAAGTTGTTTTTAAAAGCTGATCCTCGGGACACAATGTGATTCCACGAATAACTTTATTTGTTTGACCTTCTTACACCTATTGATCTATGACCTAAAACATGTCTGGTTAGGACAGGTCAACTTTTGGAAGTTTCCTAAATAATTGAAGCTTTCGTTTGCTGTAAAAGAAAATACATTGATTAAGGCTTTGTCAAATTGAATGTAACCAATATCACATCCATGTTGTGATCTGAGAATTCTTGACTTTTGTATATCCCAACAGTTTACTGTCTTTTTTTCTTATTTGTTAAGTGACGTCATTTTCTTACCATACTGATGTTCCGCTGTTCTATTATTTTCCTTTTAACCATGTGGTCACTTAAATCCGCATAACTGATGATCACCAACCCATCCCTAGAATGAGGTCATTCTGCCTGGTCTTTTTTGCCGTGCAGCCCTAAACACCCACCTGCAGCTGCTCCTTCTCGTTGGTCCTGACCACTTTGAACTCACTGTTGACCACGGAGGTCTGCGTCAGGTCGAGCGAGTCGGTGGGCACCGGGGAGTAGGAGCCGGACCGGCCGAGCCGCCGGTACATGCCCAGGGAGGAGGCGCCGTGGCGGGACGCCGCCATGGACCGGAGCCCCGGGGAGGCCCGAGGAGAAGAGGCCCCCATACGCGAGGAAGACATGGGGAACTTGGGAGAATCCCCGAAGATCTTCCGGTAGGACGAAGAGGTGTAGCGGTCCCCGTGGTTCATCTTCGCTGTGCGTCAGAGACCAGAACAAACTAACAGAGCGGCTTAAGGAGCTTTGCGCGAGTTTATATGGCGCAGGTGGAGTGAACCATTTTTACGCACGACGGTAAAGGACTTTTACAACACGTGTAGGGATCAACGAAGACGTTGAAGGACGTTTTAAAGGAATTCAAACAAACACTAAAAGAAAAAAAAGAAAAAGAAACATGTCATACGTGCCTCTAAAATGATGGAACCGCCCCCGCGGTGCGCGCGGTGGAAGATCTTTGATTAATACCTGAGGCGTGAGCTGTTTGAACCTCTGATTCTCTTCTGAATGTAAACATTTGAATGGAGATATATGATGTGGTATATTCATAGAAGACACTTCCCTTGTGGTTTTCTGCAGACCCAAGTCGACTCCACAGACTTCCAACAAACCAACAAATGAATTCCTTCAACAACATCTAATGCGTCTTCTTCCTCCACATCACCACTAACTCCTGCTCTTCTCAAAGCTGAATAAAGCCCAGAAATCTCCACCGCCATCAGATCATGGCGCACTTTATGCTTAATATTTTTTAACTTTTTTAATATTTTAAATTTTTAACTTGAACTTTATTCTTATAACTTTATTCCCTTGTTTTATACTAACCCATAGCCTTATTCTACTAACCCATTGCATTAGCATTTCATTTTACTTTATTTTATTACTTGTGCACTGCTGTCTTGTTGTCTATTGTTACACTGTCTGTCATGCACCATCCGCCAAGACAAATTCCTTGTACGTTTGACATATTTTGGCAATAAATGTTTCCTGATTCCTGATTCCTGAACAAGGATATTCAACATACTAAGCACTTACTATCAGACAGTATTTTGACATTTACTAAAGTTCACTTCACTATAGAGTTATGACAGAACTCATCTGTAAATTCAATATCCTTGACAAATAGACTAAAGAGGAAATTCTGCTGAAGTTCATTAGTGACATTGGACTGAATACAAGTTCAGGTCGTCATAGCAGACCTCCACCACCTGAGGGCGGAGCAGTGCAAGACATGTCAGGGAGAGATGTAGCACAATCACAACATAAATGCCATGTTTTCAGTGGAAGAATCCTTTGATGACCTCATAACCTTCACATGAAGGCTCGTTGTGAGACTACAGACTCGCGATTCTTTTTAATAATCGACCTAATTCACTGCAGACCTGTTGAGAGCTCAGTGTCTGATCACAGGTGTCACTGAGAGCATCAACATTCCATGCACGAGGCCCACCAAGTTCAAACCTTTATGGTCAGACCGACCGAGCGGCTGGTCACGTGACTCGTTTGTCACCTGCTGGTCATGTGAGCTCATGGTCACACGGTAGTGACTTGAGTCTCAAATGTCAAACAGGCTGTTTTTAAAGTGGTTTTCGATGCCTGATGCCAACTTCCTGTGAGGATGAAAGTTCACTTAGAGTGTCAGTGAGTGTGTTGTCTATATTCACAGGTTTGATCCCACCACTGAGCGCCACAGAGGCTTTGGCCGGCTGCGTCTCAGCCCTGCGCCGCCCCACAGAGGACCGGGGCACCCGGGACTCCCCCATCGATACTGGACTTGGTGCGGACTAAGGGCGTAACAGGTGAACGGTGTGGCGCAGTCCGGACGAGGCTCAACCAGTGGTTCGGGGTCATGATGTCCTTTGCTCAAGAACTTAAGAGCATTAGCCGTCTTAAAAAGCCCAAGTCCCCACACCGTTAATTAGGGACAGGCGGCGAAGAGACAACTTTTCCCACACTGCCTCACTTTCACCCTTGATAGATTTCCCCAACCGTTCACAGAAATTCCCTCAAAAATCAGAATCATCAGAAAACCACCCGGACAAGATGTAGAATGACCGTTTTTATTAGGAGAACAGCTATTTGGATTTGACTCTACCATCTCGGACAGTATAAATACAGAAATATATACAACAGTTGAAAAACAATATGGATTGAAAAATATATCTTTTACGCTGTTGGTTTACGGGAGGAGTAAGCCTGCATCTACAGCGGACAAATCCGGCTCTGCAATTAAAACACATGAAGTACATTCATCTTCTGAGCGCAGCCACTTTACCGTAACGACGGCGTGATTAAAGAGCAAAAGCAGTTAAAAGTACTATGAATAGTATTTGCTACATAATCTCAAGGCTCTTCTGTTTACACTTTGCTCAACAGCCAACTCTAACAGAGTTCACATATGGTAGCATGGTACAGGATGTCTTGTCTCCCCTCTTCTTCTGTTTTTTTTGGGGGAGGGGGGTCTAGTGTAAATGTTTGTTGTGATGATCACCGGTCCAGCCAGTATATTGACGGGTAGCGCTCACTCAGCACTTTGCGCAGCTGAATGCTCTGGTTCTTATCCCTGGTTTCCACTACACACTCCACCTGTCAACACACACACAGAATTACACAATTAGCGCATTGAACCGAGGAGACACTGAGACCGAGGAGACACTGAGACCGCTTCCTTTCACAGGTTCAACTTGCTTTTGTTTACATACTGTATTGGGTTTCAAACCACAACATATGAAGTTGTAAATACTCTCCTAATAAATGGGTGTTGGTATCATCGTATCATCTACTGATGATATCCATTAGTTGGGTACCTTGTGAGTTGTGCCTTCTGATAAGTTATATTATTTCTACCTTTGCCTTGAAGAGATCTGACTTCTCACTTTGTCTCCGGTGGCAGACGTCCAACAACCTGGGAGGAAAAAGACAGAAACGGTGAAGAATAGAAGGTGACATAGAGGGAACAGTAATTGTAAAAAAGGTCGGACCTCTGCATGGGACGGCAGGGTAAAGGATCGCTAAATGGACACGTGTATTGTCTCCGTACCTGACGTCCTCTCTGGACAGGACGTCCAGCAGCTTAGCCATGTCTCCTGGCCACTCCCCCAGCTGCACAGAGAATTTACTGACCCGGTCATCCAGCACCAGGGCTCGGTCCACACACTGCCTCACCAGCTCCAGTTCCATGTTAGCGCTGCTCACCACTACCGCTACCCTACAGCGCACACACACACACACACACACACACACACAAGCAAACACACACACCTCCTTGTTACATCTGCAGCCAACAGACTAGCTCTGCTGACGATGCTGTATTACTAAAAACTCGGACTCCAACAGAAGTGAAAACATGAAGCGATTCAGTTACAAGATGTAAAAACCAGTGAATGAAAGCAGCTTATTAAGGTCCGATTTCAATCAACGGTCTGACACACTTTTTGCCTTTCAGCTCTGGAAGTTGTCCGGCCAAGATGGCGGCCAGGCCCATGGCTCCCTCTGTGTCCACCGTGGAGCGCTCAAACTCCTGAAACCGCAGCATGGCCACCAGCGCGTCCTCCTCGCTGTGAGCCAGAGACAAGCAGACAAAAGGCACGGACAGCCTTTAACATTGCATTCATTTATAAGTAGCTGAGAGGATTTACACATTGTTGAGTCGGGAGATTTTGTAAAAATGAATTACAGCAAACCCTAATCAGAATTTTGCTATGGCGATGCAGTACCTGACAGAGACAACTTTATCGACCAGCTTCTTAGCCAGCTGGAAGGTGTTGACACCCAACGAACGCGCCATGAGATCTGAGAAGAGACACAAGGTGAAGTTTATTCAGCGTTCACCAGACACCTCTGTGCCACACGTCTGGAACCAGAGGCAAACAAGACACGTGTGAACTGTGTTTACCTCCATACAGTTTCTTATTTGGGTTTGTGTTCATGTCTTTGATCGGACCGTCAGCTTTGAGCGATTGTTGCAGCAGCGGGAAACCTTCTGGTTCAATTCCCTGTTGGAGAAAGCCTTCACCATGTTACCACATTGATAAACATTGATACGCCACGCTAGTGCCTCTGTGAGCGACACAACAGTGTTTTGAGCTACATGCTAACATGAGCACGCTGACAAAACCTATGCTGACATGGTGATTTCTGGCTGTTATTTTCTTTGTGGTCGCCAGTTTAGAATAAAGTGATGCTAGTATTTGCTAAAACGAAAGCGAAGATATATTTTTTTTAATTTTTACGCAGGTATTTGGTCATAAGCCAAAGTATTGTTAAAAGAAAACAGTTTGACCTCGGGCTGTTGCTACATAAAAAGTTAGATGACCACCAAATTATTACATTTCAACCTGAGGGGACATAAATATCAATCCATCGAGCAGCGTTGAGATGTTTTGGTGAGGATCAAAGTTTGGATCAACAGACCAATCAAGGCCTCCAGTGTGATTATTATTCTCAAATCACACAGCTAATTATTATGGTTATGGCTTTTTTCATCTACATTTTCCTTTTTTATGACAGAAGTGGAGTTTTCTGTTGAATTCACCTGGAAAAGAATTGTTTCACTTTCCGACAGATTGCCTTCAAAATGTAATTGCTCATGCAACATTGTGAAACATTTATACCTTTACTAAGAAGAAAACACGACTGAGCGTCCTCTAGGATTAATGAGCTTCACCTTCCTCATACACAGGTATGTGTCTGTGAGAATAAAAGGAAAGGTGTGTTCTGTTCCTACAGTGTAAAGAGGGATACAGCTGTCAGAGTCTCAGCTGTGAGCAGATAGTGGAGACACTTTAAATATATCTATCTTGTTAAGGAAATCCAAGCAGAATGAAAAAACAACACCAGGGAGATGTAGGAGGAGACTCATCTTTGCAATACAAAGTAAAAGTTTACAGAAAATGTGACCTAATTTTGAGACAGTGATGCACAGGTGTTAATAAACTCTAATGTCTTCAGCGCACCTACTTACTATGACAAGAATCTTCGAGTTGAGGTGCTTGATGGCTGCAGCTGTGCCGGCCAGTAGACCGTACTGTCCAGCAGCGGGAACAACCACTGCATCCAGTTTGGACACCTGGTCAATGATCTCCATGCCCACGGTGCCCAGCCCTGCCAGGTACGGTGCGCTTTCGTCTCTGGACAACAGGAAACACATTTCAATTCATCACTGACTTCCTTTACAGTGTGCAGACGTAACCCGAGTGTTACCATAGTACTTAACAAGAAGGTTTACTTCAGTGTATAATCACCTTGAAAGTACATTGCTTCTGGTTTTAGTTGCCTTACTAATTTTCTATCTCCATATGCAGCCGGCCCACTTAGAGAACGTGGACCACATGTTTCTACAGTAGCCAAGAACAACTTAAACCAAACACTGGCTCCAGAGACTAGTTGACTCCATGAGGGGCTTAGGCACTGGCAAAACCCAGATGGAGGAGAAACAAGTTAGTGCCTAGTTTAGCTAATAGGCTTTTTCACTCCACACCCCCAGAGTCTTCTTACCAGACTTCACAGAACTCCCCCTGGAGCCACAGAACACTTCCTCTAATGCTGTTGTACTCTCTCTGTAGGCCACAGACGGGCTTTTATGTGTCTAAATGTCTGTCCGTCAAAACGACAAACTACAAGTAAACCTCAACGACGTGACAGCCCGAGGTATCGTGACCTCCGGGTGAAATGTAGAAGTGAGCCCCGCACTGACTCTTCCAGGTAGAGGTATCCGTTCTCCGTGGCCAGATGACAGGCGTGGTTCTGCGAGTCGTGGCTCGTGCTGCCATAGGAGATGACCATGGCGCCGTAGTCCCTGTAGATCCTGAGGCGAGGCGAGGAGCAGCACGACGGCATGATGGCGAACACCGGGATCTTCAGCTCCACGGCGTGGTGGGCCACGGCCATGGAGAAGTTACAGTCACTGGCCACGATCACGCCCTTCCTCTGCTGCGCCTGGAGTGTTCAGAAGTACACACAAGTCATGAAGAATCCCTACAGTGCACTGAACAGTTTGCTCTAACGTCTAACATTTGCAAACTATACCTTTAAAAGGGCTTAAGAGTAATAAACAATAGATATTACATTACCACACGGTTCTGTGTAGCCTCTCATTTGAGCCAGTGTTTCTCAAACTGTAGACCACGATTCCCATAATCCCATAAGGGGTAATGCTTCCCGTCGCAAAGAAGATCTGTGTACGGCTTTACTGACGAGGATGAAGTCATTTTTACATCCGTGTGCTCAATCCGTCATCACTTGTCCTTCCCACAAACTAAAATAAGCTTAAAGCCAAGAATTTATAACAAACTGAAAAGCAGTTATAATTAAAATGACTTTTTTTTTCGTGTGTCCCTCGCTCACAGACACACAATATATATATAAATATATATACACATACTCAAAGGTACACGTTCCCAAGCCTCTGTCCGTTAAAGCTTCACTATTTTTGGCAGGAACGTGTCAGTGGTCAGTTCACAGATGAGTCTGCACGAACACACAGAGTTGATGCCATTAGCTGGTGACCTGGAGGGCAGGAAGGGATCATCCCTCTCTCCCTCCCTCTCCCTCCTTCCCTCTCTCTCCCTCTCTCTCTCTCTCTCTCTCTCTCTCGTCTCACCTGTGACAGGGAGGTGAGCAGGTACAGAACTCCTCTCTCCTTCACAGAGCCTGTGTAGTGCAGGTGCTCCTTCTTCAGGTAGATCTCCATCCCGTACTGTTTGGACAGTCTGGAGTACTGCTCGAAACACAAAAAGAAGACCAGCAGCATTATTTCATTGTTGAGCGGTGACTCGACAATAGTCCAATTTCTCTATTCTTTATCGCCTCGCTGTCGGTACCGTGCAGGGCGTCTTCTGTATCACCGTCTGGATCCTGAAGGACGCTGCACTGATGTCCTCGAAGCGGAGATACTCGACAACAGGCCTGGGGACGATCCGGAACTCGCTGAGGCGTCTGATTTTGGGGGGCTCCATGAGCTTGAACTCGGCATCCCCAAACGCCTTGGTGCCACGGACCCTTACGTTCCCGTTGACGAGATCCTCCTCGCCAAAGTCCTTAAGTCGCTCTGGTTCAATGAGGGTGGATCTGCTGCACGCGGTGCCGTTGCTGACGAGGCCGCATTTGGAAGGGCCGCCGGGCTGACCGGGGCCCAGGCGCAGCTCATCCCTGGGAGAGGAGAATTCAGACAGGCGTTAGGGAAACTGAACCCTACCTTCACCAAACGAATGTCAGATTTGTCATTTGCTGCTGGCTGAGGCCTCGGGTCACTTTGTGCGCGAGAAGCTGAGATTCTGAATCCGTTTTGCACAATTCATGCTGTCAAAAATCCAAGCCAGATGACGGACAAACTGCAAACTAGAATTTAAGCAGTTGGTGTTCAGCTTGCTCTCATTTGAGGGAGTTGGAACTTCCCCAACTTATGCTTTCAACTGTATTTGTTTGTGTGAAACCAATTGAATTTTGAACCACACTTTGGCGGACAGTGATGGGCTGTGTTGAATACTAAAACAAATACATGTCTACTTGATTCAGTAGAGAGAACCCACCTTCCCAATCAGAGAACATACTCACTGTACGTTGTATCATTTCAGTCAAATTTTTTTTTACAATTGCTTGGATATAAATCCTAGAAGAAATACAGCCAAAAACATCTGTCAAACGCTTCCTGAATAAAACGCCTTTTAAAGATAAAGTTTAGTGTCATCAGTATACAGTGAGCCACTCACTTTCCTACCCACACACCTTGATTCTGCCAATTCACGTGGGACATGATGATCCGTGATTCCGTTAGCATTGTCTGAGCTCTCTGTCCTATGAACATTTGGGCTTGGAGGGACGATTTTTTCTAACCTGATTACATTTTTTTTAAAACAGTCCCCACACCGACACACACAGACACACACTCCTTGATCCCTGAGTCTGAGATGAATGGATTCACCTTTCATGTCATCCCAGATTCCACTCACTATGACAGATTACAGCCAGAAGTCAATTTATGATTCATTGGGTCATTCAGCTCTTCTTTTTAGGAGATGCACACATAATTAAAGTGTCAATTTCGGGCCAAAGGCAGAACATTTTGATTTATAACAGCTCAGTTAAATGGCCATTGAATACAATAAAAGAGCACAAGTCGCTTACTAAAAAAAGCATCATTTTTTCTACTGAGTCTACTGTGAAAATGACTTGCACAAAACTGGATTAATCCTCAGACTCGATTGAGGAGGTTTCTCTCACAAGACCCCTTACACAGCATGGACAGAAGGATGGGATTACACCCTTTGGAGATTAACCCCGTCACTTTGCCACTAAAGCAGATCACAAATGGTTAATTTAAGGGTTGTGCAGTGGAGCAGCGGCAGTCATTTTCAGACGTTTCAGTCATTTTTAGATGCACGCTTTGCTCAGCGACTGAGAAAGTAAAATATAAAATAATCCAGTGGTGTGGTGATTTAGTGCTTTTGCTTTTAGGGTGTTTGAATACAAGTAGACCAGCAGGTGGAGGGCTTCTCCTAGTAACCATCGGCCACAGTCTTAGGAAACAAGAGAACATCTTAGACTATTTATAGCCCAATGATCTGCCATGAACAATATGGCAACCTTTCCCCTCGTCTTCAGGTCCATCACTGCCCTCTGGCCTTCCCGGCTCACCCTTCCAGGCCGTTTCCCATGCAAACAGTCTGCTTTTCACACGGCAGGGATTAGGAAAGTAGGAGCCTGCACCTGTGATTATGCTTTGGTTCAAAAGCAAAGAACATCAAAGGAGCGAAAGAGAAACACCGCAGCCAGTATCAAACCTCAAAGAGCCTCTAACAAAGATGTAGTCAGAGAAATAGGCTCTTCTAATCTATTTAAATACCCCAAATTAGGAAAGTGGAGTTGAAGCAAAAAGTGACTCCACCAGGCTTTGATCATTGCACCATCTCAGCTCGTTAATGTCCCTTTAATGACTGAATGCCCTGAACGCTTCCTTTTCCTGGAACAATGTTAACTTGAGAGGAGAAAATGTCTCCCAGCACCATATGACCCTGATTGTTGGTGTTGAACGTGTGGTTCTGCATCTTTCTGCAGTCTTTGTCTAGTTTGTTTTAGCCTACTGATGTACCACAAGCAGCACCAGTTTCACACACCAAAGTACTTCAAAGATGTACTTTGTTTTTTATGAATAAAGACAAAATCGTATTCACGTATTGAACTTTCACGGACCTCTCTCGCTCTCTGAGAATTACCTGTCGACAAAGAGGAGAAAAAGGTAGAGGACCAAGCGAAGGAGCAAGTCAACAAGAGCTTGGAAGGTCGGGAGTCGCTCTCCTTTAAAAGGAGCAGTAGATGAGTAGGAGGATGAGGAGGATGAGGAGGATGAGGAGAAGGAATAGAAGGAGAAGGAGGAAGAGGAAACAGAATATGGGGAAATGGAAAACAAGGAAGCCATTTCTGCTTGGGACCTGGATTCAACAGGAGATGGTTCGCAGGGAGCCCTCTGAAGAGAAATATTGTCCAAGGGAAGTTCGTTAAACCTTGATTCAGGGTTTTCAACAGCCAAATGTAGATTTGGCAGGCAGGTGGGCGATTGTGTTGATTTCCTCTCGGGATTAAGGTGAGGAGGAGGTGGAGGAGGAGGACATTGGAGATCTGAGGGCGTCTCTATCAGGGTATGCTGAGAAGCAACTGGGTTAGGAGGAGAAATGGAAGTAACTGGAGAAAAACACGCAGAGGGTAGATCTGTTGCGGTAGAACTGGGGTGGTTAGGGGAAGGGTCAGGAGGATCCAGCAGGCTACGTGTTGTCATTTCCCACCTCTGCCAGAAGGGGTCATTCTCCTCGCTCCTTTTAAGTGCAGGCCTGGGTGAGTACAAACGCTCAAGTCGCTCGCTCAAGTAGCTTGAGTAGAAAAACTGGGCAGCAAAGTTCATCTTGGGCGAAGCACCGTCCTCCGACAGTCCAGCGAGTGTTTGTATCCGATTCCCTCTCCTTCTCCGGCTGCTGTGGCGTGTCCGAGGGGTAAAAGGACTCTGGCTAGAGCTGCTCCCACGGTGTCACCTCCTTCCCGCTGGCCTTGGCCTGGGGCTATTTCAGAAGGGATTACAGCGGGGCACATGGTGTCTCTGCAGTGTCTCCGCAGTGTCCTGGCTCCTCCCAGATCTCTATTCCTGGTCCCAGACCGGGATTACTACCCCGTTCTATGACGTGGTGCTAATCAGACAGTCTAAGGAGATAGATGCAGATTTAAAGTTTATCTTAGGGAGCAGTGATCTGGAGGCTCAGCCACACAGGGGAAAAGACAATGGACGGGGATCAGAATCGAAAATGGGGAGGGAGCAGAAGTTACATGCAAAACGTGTGCAAGGGAACCATCAGTAGCGTTCGTCTCCATCCATATTGTCTACGATTCAGGTGCATTGCGCCTAATCTTAATCTAATCTAAGCAGCACACAGAAGCACCTGAAAGAGGCCGAAGCAGGAAGTTACTGATCAAGACTTTCCTGGCTCAGTAGCACATGTACATAATCATGAGATTCAGGCTACCAGGCCGCCAGATAACAGAGACTTCAGGGAACGTGAAGAGGTACATGGGCTGCCAGCAACACTCAGCAGGAGGTCCGGATCCTTTTCAGCTCTGATCGGATTTCCAAAGTGAACCTCAGAACTGAACTGAACAGAACAGCATCAGTGATGCCCGTGTTCACTAGATAGGCTCTGTTCACATAGTGAGTATTCCCCAAGTCAAATCACTATAGAAATCTGCATAATCAGAGATAATCCCTTCATCAGATTTAGTTCAAATTATATTAACCGCGATCTGACGGAGTAAAGTGTCACGCAAGGGCTGAAGGAAATTAATAATTCTACTTGTGACAGTCTGCTATGTCCAGTAAGGATGGTGTTGTAGCCTCTGTAAACCTCCCTCACACATTTGCCCCCTGAAGATTTGCTGCCAGAAACTGACCTGATATATATATTTTGTCAGAAAAATAAATAAAAAAATAGCCAATGCCTCTTTTAGAAAATCTTCAAACCATTTGTACAACGTAGTTTATTTCAAGTAAGAAAAAATGAAATAACATATTGCACCTTTTGCAATGAGGGTTGACCCTTAACCTCCCAACAGAGATGCAGGTGGGCCCCATTTTGCCTTTAAGAGCAAAACGATACCTGTTAATCTACCTTTAGAACACAAACACACTGCGGCTGCTATCATGCCTCGCCAGCAATGCTTGTTGGGCGGTTGAATTGTGTGGCAAGGACACTCAACAAAATAATCAGCTATAAATAATAGAAACGTAAGAGAAGATATATGCATTATTTCAAGTATAACTATGTTCTGACAAAAATAGTGAAGTTAGACATTTGTCCAGTAATGGAGACTTTTAGATGTGGTTCACAGTTTTCCCCTTATAAATATAATAAACATGGAAAGAGACGTAATGTACACTTTGAATATCTGAAAGATTGGTCTTCATAGTTTGGAGGATAAATAAAAGCTAAAATGTGATCTTCTCGTTATATATTGAATAAGACCACTTAACAGCCCTGAAAGGAGTCCTGCCAGTTTCTGTAAGTACAACACATTCACAATAGGATCAACTAATGATCCGTGATAAGAGCAAAGGATGGTGGTGTTTGATGAGGGCCAGACTTCTCACACACAGCAACACATCTCGGACAAATTAGATTTAGCTCTTTAAAAAGTGTCAGGAAGACGGCGTGAGCCAGGAGACAGAGCAGGTGCAGGCCGCTGAGCTCACCTTTTGGCAACAACAAGGTTCAGTGAGGTCCAGGTGAAGATATCAGTTTAGTCTCGACAGTCTGATGGTGTCCTGCATCTCTTCATGCTTGTGAGGACATTTGGTCATCAAGACGACTGGCAGTCATTGCATTGACCGGAGCGAACTGATAGACGAGGACGGGACAGGAATAGATGGAGACAAGGTGACCTCGCCTCAAGCGGTCTGTCACAGCACAGATCAGCGTGACGGCGGCCTCCTGGAGGCCGTGATCCTCCGGTTCTGTGTGGGTGTAGACGCTCCACAGCGAGGGATTAAAGCGTCACTGGATGAACTTTGGCACATATCTACATTTGATATAGTGGTGGTTTACTGCTACACATTCAAATAACTGAAAAATAAAGACAAGTTGGATTTATACAATCACTTTATTGGTACATTTTTAGCTTTCTCATTTTACAAATATGTTAATATGCTAAATGTCACATGTATGTATGTTTTTTGCTTAATAAAGTAAAGAAAAATGTTCTATTTGGATGATGTAAAAGAGAATAAAATAGGAATTTGAAATCAAACCACATTTAAAACTGAGTTATTGCTTTGTATATTGTACGCTTCTGTTCTGCGTGAAGCACATTTAATGACGTCCTTACCTGCATCTCCTCTGGTTTCTGTCTACTGACAGAACATCCTTCTCCTCCACTTTGATCCCTTTGCTCACTTTTCCTCCAGTTTAGTTTTTTTACTGCTTAACCGGCGGATCTGCTTAAGACAGGATGGCTTACTGAAGATAACCGCGTATAAGACGTAATGGTCTCGGCTGTGTGTGGAGTCACACAGTCGGAGAGAGAAGTCAATACAGTGGGAATAACAGGAACCAATCAATGTGATCAGAAAGGGCGTTCCCTGATTCCTTGCATCTCACTTCATTTTTAACTTCTCTGACTTCCTGCAGAACAGAATCGTGGAGCTCATATCCTCAGAAAGAGCTTTAGTTTTTCTCTGGATTCCAATCGGTGGGGAAAGTTGTGAGAGTTGTTAATTTGTCCTCGTGTGGAAAACAGTGAAATAAGTCATATTTGATGCTTTGCTGCATTTCTTTACCAAGTAAAAATAGGTAATACAGCGCAGTACTGGAATAGCTTACATCGTGCTTTCTATATAAAGTATGTACAAAAGAACTGATTGTGCTCTTTTATTAACTTCAGTGGACCATGAAAATGTCATCGACCTCAAAACTTACGCCGTGTTCAAGTCCAACCACAGTCCCCCTCTCTGTAAGCCAGTCCGTCTGTGGCTGAACTGGGATCCGAGTCTCCTCCCCAGTGCTCCCCTCCCGCCCATTCCCAGATACTGAGCTTTTTGTTCTGCATCTAATGTTTTCATTAGGAGACTGGCCGCAAACCAAGGCGACGAGGGAAGCACAAGAGAGCGACGGAGCAGACAGGGAAAGTTGTCGAGGAGAGAAGAAACTTTGTGTTGATGTTTTGAATTGGAGGAGAGTCTGTTGGTTGTTTGTGTCTCTTCATTCAACGTGAAAGTCTTCACTCTACGTCACCGGCCGCTCTGCTCTCCAATTCTCACCATGACCCGCCCCGCCACCCCTTGGGTTGGACTAATCCTCCTTCTGATTGGCTACGCCGCGGCAGGTAAGGTCACAAGGCCACGAGGACACACGGGTTCACTGTGTTGATTTAAGTTAACAGAAGGGAGGGTTTCTGCAGTGCAGTCAATACCAATCTGATGCGCATTGTGACCATTGTGATCATTAAGACCATTGCATCTACTGCGTCTTTGTCGCGTTGCATTTTTCAGAGTGTGCGTAGACGACGGCTGGGTGAACACACACCAGGCTGACATCATGGGCGTTCATGCACTTACACGCCAGTCTGTGTGTGTTCAGGGACCTCCAGAAACATCTGTTAATAATTTCCCCGCAGCTCTGGCTACACTTAATCCAACATTGTGTCAGCACAGCTTCTAACAAACACTCGCTTTCCTTCGTCTGCCTGCGTCTAACCTCCGGGCTTAGCTTTGTTTCTCAGAGTTGGTAAACTCTGATGGAAATTCACAAAAATGTGGGCCAATCCCTTCGCAGCCAAATCTGTGGCGGCTTCAAGCGTGAACTACGCTGACTTCATGCTGCAAGAATGGCCAACTGCAAGAGGCACAACGGATGCTCGCTGCAGGCAACAAACAGAGGCCGTCACTCACAAAGCATTTAGCGTTTAAGCTTAAAAGCTAGATTGAAGGTAAACATGGATGGAACAGACCGGGTAAAAAGGCCCTTTCATGGTTTGATGGTCACTCTCAGGGAAAACTATGACACTCTCTTGGTGTCTGGAACTGTTATATTTGAGTTAGAAACATTCAACTTGCCATGAAGGAGAATAACACAGTAGAAGAGGTTGATGTTCTATCGATCATAGAGATCTATGCGTGCACATTATTATACATTTAAACAGGATAATACATTTCTTTTGGGTTACAGCTGCTATCCGTGAACACTGGACCAGTCTACACAGCGTTGCCCCGCCTGGCCCAAATATCAGGATAAGCAATAAAATACAGAAATGTAGGTTTGTGTGTTACACAAAAAAAGGCGTTGTGATATCAATGGAACTGTGAGTGCAGCAGACAGTTGAAGTGTTGAAATAATCGATGTGTGTGCACATCGAGGCGTCTGACATGTCTGTTAAGGGAAGAGCTGAAAGTCAGCTGAATTGTAAGCAATTGAAACGTCAAGTGGACAAGTGAAGGTGAAGTGTGTGCGTTGCATGCAGTTGAACCGTCAGTTGTCAGGTAAGCACTAAAAGCCGTTAAAATGTCAGTTTGAGCCGAAATCAGGTAAGAATACCTGTTGACATGTGTGCACTGAAAGCAGTTGAAATGCCCCTTGAAGTATATTTACTTTACATTTACTGTAGGTCAGTGTACAAGGTGAAGCCATACGTAAGTGTCACGGCACATATAGTCCCACCATATGTATGTTGTTTTTTTTCGCTATGCGGTGCACACATTCGAATGCAGGACTTCTCATGCTCGTAAACTGCATCGTGTTTGGCCGTCCCTCTGATTGTACGAAAACCGATGTTGTGAAGTAACTCAGTGACCTGCACCGACTTCTCAATTTTGCACATGGCTGAACCCCTCTGCCGTGCAGAGAAGCATGATGCTGCAAAAACCCACAGAGTACTCCACACACACACACACACACACAGGCCTGTGTGCACACACACACACGGGCATTCACCTTCGTCCCCGAGTGGAGTCAGCATGTTAGATGATCCTATCTGGTGGTGTGTTTCCTTCATGTGTGGGGGCTCTGATGTGACCCTGCTGGAACCGTCCTGAAAGGGAAGAAAGGACTCTGCACGCCAGCTGGACCGATGCAAAAAAACAACACAAACAGGCACGAAACGCCAACTGGTGACAATAAGAACACCACCGCCAGTCACGTGTTCATTGCACACGACACTTTTTCATAACGCCATTCATGGTGAACATCAGCATGTAAGGTCTCTGTTGAAAGTTCTCCCCTCCCAAAGAGGGGGCTGCTGTGTCCACACACTGATCACACACATGCTGACACCTCGGCAGAGGAACCAGCTGTGGTTTAGGAGCTAAATTATTTTTTGTGTGCGCTGTTTTATAAACCAGCATCATCCTCTCTCTCGGCCTGCGTCCTGCGTGTACTGAACTTGGCATCCCTTCGGTCGGTGTAATGGAGCCGGTAAAATGTTTCCATGGGATATCTCTGTGAAATCAGCGCAGCCTGATGCTAAGACGCTGTACTTGGCTGTACCAGGAGCACGACTGTACCGAGTTTGGGAGTGTAGGGTTTAAGTTTTTGTAGCTGAAGGTATTTTGGCACACTGGAAGTCAGCAGCCGACTGTTGGTACGGAGAGAAAATGGTTTCATCTGCAATGAGCTCTCTATTTTTTGACATCCGTGTGTTGGTCTCGGCAGGCAGCCAGAGAGGAACGATGTGGACCTACGACACTGACTTACTGGCATCAATGTCTGATAACAGCACACATTCTCAGGCATTAGCTGCCAATAGGCTCCAAATATTTCACTCAACGAACAGCGGCGGCAGCGTTGAGCAGATAAACAAGAGGCTCACTCAAGTATAAATGCTATCAATGGGAGCTCGGCCCGCTGCCACTCAGAAGGTGCTAGAAAATGGAGTTCTGCCAAAGAAAGCAGGCTTCCCCTCCAAATATGTGAGCTTCAAAGGGAAACAAATAATTGGAAACAAAACTGTGAGGGGAAAACAGCAAGAACAATGCATCTGCCCCTTGCAAAGATTAAATAAGAAGAAATAAAGAGACTATGGCACCAAAAAGTCCAGGAGGTCCCGTTTGTATGCTGCCACAGCCAGCAACAAGTCAGAGTAGCATCAACTGGCCATGGCTTCGGTAATTTAGTTAATTTATTACTGAACAGTTGCGATATGTTGGTTAACTTTAAAGTGTTGGAAAGCTGTTTTATGCCACATATGGTTCTATATGCAGGCTAAGCTTAATTACTCTAGCTTCAGCTTCATACCTTCAAACTTGTTAAGAATAAAATAAAGGTATATTTTTCATATATATATATATATTTTAATAGTTTTTTAAATTATTTCTTTAACATCCAATATTAGATTTTAGTGGGCAAACAGGTTTGGAATATTATGTTTTTAGATAAAATGTCTGCTGCTAGCAAAAATAGGTAGGACTTCAGCCAAACGTTGTTCTCAATAAATGTGGGGAGAACATGAAATTGCTAAATGTGCAATTGTTTTGTGGTTTAGAGTGGTCTACTTGAATACTTTACACACTGTAAATCACTCCGACGTGCATGTTTTCTGTCTGCAGGACCTGAGACTGACAAGCAGCCTCGAGCGGTGCATTCAAGTGCCTGTCAAGAGCACACAAACCTTCACAGCCGTCTGGATGTGGTGGAGAAGGTGCGGTTTCCGATTTCATAATACGGCTCATATTCAGCGCCGTGGTTTGAAAGCATCAGGGCTCGGGATGTTTGTGCCCAAGGCGTTGTCGGCTCCTTTCTTAAATCGGCTTTCTTTCTATCTTTCTCTGCCCCAAAAAAATAATTTCACAAAACAAGTTGACAGAGAAAACCACAGTGACTTACTGTGCAACACCCCTGTCCTAAAATCCTGATTAAATAACCCTGATTGAGGGTTAGTTAGTCCATTAGCATTTGACAAAAAGCTTTGCTTACTTTGAACTTAATATCTTTTTGGGAAAACTGAAAAATCCATATTAATATATTATCGTACTGTTCATGGATGATGACTCCATTATTCATATTGTGATGACTAATTATTAATGCAGCATTCTAGTGCCAATAACAGAACTATGTCTTCTGTCTGCTGCAGAAAGTGGAGGACAGGGTTGAGAAGCTGGAAGTTGAGTTGGCTGCTCTTCTCGATGCCATTGGAGCCCCAGAGTTGCACCCCGTGTTGGACAATACAGGAAATATGCTGGTGGACATCTTGGAAGACCCAGAGTTCTTGAACTAACCAGACATCACTCAAGTGGCCTCTTGAACTTGGGCTTTAATGGATTTAAACTGTTGATGGCCTAAATGCAAAATGTGTTCATGTATCTACTGTACGTTTTTCAAGTAAAGTTCTTTTTGCTTAAGAGGAGGCACAAGGCAAAGATTGTCTGCGTTGTTTTACTCTAACTAATCCTTCAACAGCCTCGTCTTTTTTCCAGCTTTAGAGCAATTTACCACCGTCGTCAATAGTAGGACAGTCCCTGTTTACTATGCTATCCAAAGAGATGAATTCTCTTTACTCAGTAAATTTACACCCCTGCTCTCTGTGGCCCCCTACTGCCTGCTGGTAAACTGGGCCTCGGATGCTTTATTTTGAAATATGAAAGACACAGCAAATCAAAAATATTTGAAGGGAGATTTATTACTTTATCAAAGCAGTTAAAGCAGCATTTATTTTTCTAAACACACAAAGACGTTTCCGTTGGTACAGTAGCAACGCTTCTCACTGATTCCCCCCTAAAAATCCTGCAGTATAATAACATGATGAAAAGCAGGACCAAGAGGAGGGAAAAATCACATCTTCTGTTTGATGCGTTTTCTCAACAGGGCACTGAGCTTCTAACTGTATCCACAGAGTTAAGACGTCTACAGTATGGTACAACACGAGAGCATCCGGGGGGAAATGGAATAGGAGACATGCTGTTGCTGGTCAAATACTAACACAATGCCTAACGGCATCCAGGACATTAGAACAGATAAAGAAACATGTCAGGAGGAATTGCAAGCACGTTCCAATTAGGAAATAATCACTGATATCAAGGAACAACTGTTGATTAGTATTGTAACTTAAGATAAAAGCTACGCTTAGATGAACAAAATCGTATTATCCACTCTGAGATGATTACAATAACTACATATCCAGGTCAGGCCTGTGTTGACTCTTAACAGGGTTTATTCTGAAATAGTCTTACCCTTTTCTTTCCACACAAATTGAGACATTCAGTATTTTTAATAATGCAGCAAAGTTTGTTTTGGGGTGAAGTGAAAAACTGCCCCAGTTCCAAATCTTCCTCTAACGCAACATTTAATGCACAACGGAGATTCACACACAACCGCTGACCTCATTCCACTCATCCTGCAAGGGTACGAGCATGTGTACTTGAACAAAGCATTGAGACAACCTACGGGGTGTCAATAGGTACTGCGTATCATCTAACAATATCATGCCGCCCATATAACACTGGGATTATACAATGTTGTACAGTTTCACAAAACCCCATGTTCAGAAACAGTTACGCAGGCCAAGTTATAGTCCGATTGTGACTGTTTCTATAATCAGGTGCGGTGTTACCAAAAGCTTTTGCATGCACAGATAAGCCGGTAAGGCTGAAGCTCCAGGCTTTGGCAGAAACAGGCTTATATTGTAAAAAGTACATGCAACAAAAAGAACAAAAAAAAGTGCAGGGTTCAAAACTACTCAATTTATCAATTATTTTGGCGGACTTGAAAGATGCAACTTAATGTTCCTTTAAAAGAATCCAATTGTACTTTACTGTTTTAAACAAATACCTTTGACATTTTGGAAAATGCGCTTTATTCGTGTTATTTCTAAAAGAGAGAGATGAGAAGATGGGGCCACTCCCGTGTCTGTGCTGCAGGAAGCTGTGGCAGTGGAGCCATTTGTTGAGCTTATCAAAAGGCCTGCAAGCAGTGCGACCGTTGCCCGAGGAAGAATCCAAGCTAGCGTCAATGCTAGCTAGCAGCTATTCTGCTGCTACATTGGTGGTAGAAACTATTGTCAGTCACTTGAAATGTAATAATTACATGTGACAAATATACTTAAAAAAAGATAATTAGCTACATAACGTATTACTTACTCAGCTCGGCTTCATCAAATGTGCCTTCCAACAACTCCATGCTTAATGTTAGCTAGGTAGCTTAATGTTGCTAGGTAGCTTAATGTTAGCCTCACTCAGCGCACAACATGTTAATAATACGACTTGTGGATGTAAGTTAGTGTCACATTTCACCTCTTTTGTTAGAGGCTAATCATCCTGCGGGGTACCGAGCTAGCATAGCGGCGTGTCAACCGAACGCAGAGAGAATAAACTAACACAAACTCTGCATCGAGCTACTGCAAACAAGCCCACTGCTACGTTATTATCATTAGACTGTACAATTACAACGCAGACAGCAGCATACTCATGTTCTTTTATAGGTTTTAATAAAAAATAAAGTTTTAAAACGGATTAATATAATGGAGTTTGTAGTCATGTTAATTAAGTAATATATATTTGGCTTGTCTTTTCATAGGCAACCCCTCTCAAATATATCACAATGGAGAAATGAGAAAGAAACTTCTGGGCTACTGGAGGCATCATAAGTTACACATAAAATGTGCAGCCCGGCTTTACAGTTTGTGCATCATTTAAACGAAAGAAACCACAAGGCTTTTGGGGCGTCCTGATAAGTGGGTTGTTCAACTTTGGACAGATAACTGCTGCTTTCTCCGGCTCCCGGTGGTCACGTGAAGCTTCGCCTCGCACAGACATGAAAGTGATATCCCGCTCATTTGAGAAGTGTAAAAACAACCAATAGGCATATTCAGCTTTGCCAGGTGGGAAATGTTAAAACTATTCGAGCAAAGGCAATTATAACCACTATAATGCTGGGTGTTTTTCCCCAAATTGTTAACTATTACATTAAGGCCCCCCGCCCCCTTACCTGAAATAGATACCTTATACATAATCACAAAATGTATAAATGAGAGCCTTTTCGCTCGCAGAAGGAACATTGACTTTACGTTATACTAGGAAGAAGAGACGCACACTCACACATTGAAGTTCCTTAGAAATGGTTATGCAAATGGTAGAAAAGCTTTGGCATATTTTGCCTACAAGTTGTGCCTGCACACTTGGAAAAAAGAGCAGAACAAAGCAGTGTGAAGCTTCACGCAGCTCTTCCTTTAGTTTGTATGTTGATTTCGCAATCCCACATAAAACTGTGGTGAATTTAAGTAACCTATACCGTCTGCTATGTACATTGTTTTCATTGTATCAGGCCTTATGGGTTTCAAGGTGAACCTTTGCTACAAGTTCCCGGGCGATCAGACTGAGATCCAACAGTGCCTCCTTCAATGTACCACTGTCACTGTGGCAGCAACAGACTAGCTCATCTGCACAACTTTGATGTACCGACAGGGCACAGCTACACATTTAAAGTACAGGAACAAGCTCTACAGGGAGATGATCTTTGCGCTAACCAAAGCACAAAGAGATCACAACATCTAAAAGAAGTAAGCGGTGCTTTGCTAATAGATTCTTAACAGATGTGACCGTCGGCGATTGGCATTTACAGAAGACCTCCCCCCTCCCCCCCGAGTTTCTGAACGCTCTATGAGTCGGCGGGGCTCAAACACTGCATCTTGGGAAACAAATGACAAACAAAACCTTTCAGTCGGTTTGCTGTACGGATTTCCAAATAATGTTTGGAATATTTGAGAAGCTTTGAAAGAGGACATTTTTGCTATAATGAGATTAATACAGATTATCGTCAGCAGGCACCACTTCAAACAGGTTGACAACATGAACACAATCTGCAAAAGTGCAACCGGAGGAAGGAGCTCCAGAATGAAAGAGGCAGCGCTGGGGGAGGGCGACGGGGGGGTCTGTGAATTAAAAGACACAGGGGCGACAACATAAAGTGAGTGCCTGCTGCGTATGCTGAATAATTCATCCGTCCCCGTCAGATTTTGAACGGAGAGGCCAAGAGTGAAGGCTTCACCAAAACGCCAACCTCGTGGACATCATCATCATGCTCGTGTAGGACAACTCTTAGTAAATGATACCTTATTTGTCATGCTATACCGTAAGATGCATAGAAGTTAGAGCTTAGTCTGGGGCGGGCAAATCTCTGGAAATCTGCTTTCATTCGCGGCGGAAAGATGCTACCAAAAAAAAAAAAGAAAAAAGAGGAGGGAAATAGTGGGAGCCATTTTGGGTCCGGCTTCGCGCCCCCTCGGCTCCCGGCTACGACAGAGAGCGCCTATGGACGCGGCACGAACACTGCAGGGCGGCCAGGGGGAGACCTGCCGCCGCCGCCATCACCCGCCAGGAGCTGCGGTGCTAGCAGCTGGCGGGGGAGGAGCAGACAGAGCCACACATGCTCAGTTTGGAGGAGGACTCGGCCTCGGGCTCGGGTTCGGGCTCGGGTTCTGGCTCGGGCGCATCTTCGTCGGTGGCCCCGGCCTCGGCTTCTCCTTCGTCGGTGGCGTCATCGCCGCCGGCCTCTGACTGACCTTCCTCCTGACGCCTTTTGAACCTGAGGGAAACAGACAGAGAAAAACATATTTAATCACGCGATCTGCATGAATATGTAGACACACGCCATCTGGACCCCTCTAAAATGAATTGTAATTTGGACGGGGAGAAAGAAAGAAACTATCATGTAGTTCAAATTCAACACATTATGAATAGATTATAAATAGAAGTGGATTGCCATAAATTATAGCAAAAAGATATAATAAGACTTTTGCCAAACTGAAGGATTTCAGTAACACTGCAGTGGCAGGATCCCATCTATAATATATGAGGCAATCATTTAGAAGCCAATCCTTCCTCCATTTACATTGCAGAGAGCACACAGTCAATGATAAATGAGTTCATAGATCTGATGTACTGTGTACATTGTCCTATAAAATATGAAATCCCTCGTATAATGCAAAAGAAGGGTGAAGGGGGGGGGGGGGAGGTGAAAGAAGGGTGGGCTCTAAAAAAAAGCAGTTTGACAGCTTTGATATAAATATCAAAGTTATTTAATTAAAGGAGCTCAGCTGTTGTACGAGAACAAATAGCGATCATCTACAGTCTAGACGCACTGTACGCTCTATGGTTTTGTTTTCATACTGGACATAATTTACAAATTGCTGTGCCTCTTCACACAGATGAGATCTTAATTCTGCTCTGATCTCCTGGCGCAGTAGTGAGCACAGCACTGTAGTTGCCTGCTGCGTTTTGCACGCATAATAAATAAGTTGCTTGGATTTAGATGGTCGGCTGCTCTTACTTCTCGCGGTTGAAGATCATGAACTCTTGCTGCACCACTTCAAGGCACTCCTGTAGGTAGTCGTTCTCCTGCAGGCGGTCAACAGAACAAAACACCGTCATCTTCTTCCACATCAACATCATTCTTGTTGTCATAGAGAACTACAGATGAAACCTCACGTCAACTCAGTAAACTGCATCACCCCTGAGGTGAAAAAGTCTTAATTTCCTTTTCTCCCTTTTTCTCCATGGCTGCTCTTTTCTTCCATTTCCCCCCTTTAAAGAAGTCATGAATTGTTTGTGAGCCCTCCTCAAATTGGATGTTTGGCCCGAGACAAAAATAGAACCTCATATTTCCGAAAGCACTTGAGGCTATGACAACAGCAGCGAAGGTTTCATAATTTAATAATCTGGCCATAACGGAGTACGGGCACACACGAGCAGACGCACAACCGTAAGTGCTGCACGCAAAAACACACACACACACACACACACACACACACACACACACACACACACACACACACACACACACACAGCAAGTCTCATATCCCTGCTATTGTTAGAGGTACACACTCCTTGCACACGCTGATGGCTCATGACACGCACACACGCACACACACACACAGAGGACTGACGTTAATAACACTGATGTCATGATGACTGTCTGAAGGGAACGGGCCGCTTCTCATAAATATAAAAAGGATATTTCCTGTCTGTGGTAAATAACGTCTCAACCGAACAGAAGCCGGTGGAGGAAACCGTGAGACTCTGGTCCCGTGTTAAACTCTGGTACCGTGTTAAACTCTGGTACCGTGTTAAACTCTGGTACCGTGTTAAACTCTGGTCCCAGAAGAAACAGGCGGGCCAGGATTCATCATGTATTAATTATGTCATTCGTCATCTCTAATGTGAAGAGGTCTTTGTTTTAAAACATTTACAATGCTGCACTCTACTGTGCAGCATTGTAAATGAGAGTTTTTTCTCTTTTCTTGGTGATGTATGTGTACAGGAATCACTGCCGGCCTGAAGTTATTTTTTTTTAATCATAAATTAATTCTTAAGGCTATTATTAAATTATTATTAAATGTTGCTTTCATGCTGAGAATTTGATTAGAGATACACACCTTTACTGTTACTAATAACTAGCTTAGCTTAGCATAAGGACCAGAAAAGTGGGAGAGAATTAACCAGCCTCTCTCTGAAGGTAACAATAATTCACCCAGCAGCATCTCTAAAGCTCACCAACTCCTTCAGAGGATCTTGCTATTTTTTTACCTGAAGTGTATAAATGATAATGTACAATTTATTCAGTTCAATGAGCCGTAACCAGGCAACCAGCCAACTCCAGGAGTTCTCCTTACTGCCCCCAGCTGAGAAATAGTCTGGCACATAACCCCGTGAGAATGAGTATCCAAATTACTTTTTTTAAAGTCTGAAAAAGACAAGACAGGACAGTCACTGCAAACTTCTCATCCAACTCATAAAGCTCCCAAATATAGCAGTGGTGTAATGTGATTCTGAGCAAAACCTCCCCCTCAGCTGGACTCTGCTAGCTCTGTTAGCATTGTTGCTGCTGGAAGTTGAGAGCCGTGTGGCTCTAATCCCCGAATCATAAATACAGCAGATTTCCATTTTATAATCATTACATTTTGTTATAATAATACGGACGTGATGTGACCTACTGTAAAAACATAGTTTGCCCCGAAAGTGGAGCAGAATATACAGTATGACGGGAGACAATGCTGCTTACATGCCTGTTTGGGAATACTAATGATTTCAAAAGATCCCACTAATCAGCCTACTTACAGCAAGCCCGCAGCTAGCACGCCTGTTTATTAAATCTCTCTTTGTATTCAGCAGCACAATTATCTATTGATTTTGTCTGCTGAGCTGAGGGAATTCACAGCAGCAGAGCAAAGAAAATATGCATGGCTCCGGCTCACTTCCAATCTAAAAATATGCAGTTTTGACAGGAACTGAAAGACCAGGGACCGAGGTGAACCTGAGCTGCATTGTTATCTGTAAGACTGGCCCATCCTCTACTGTCTCTAGAAGTGTCCCTCCTATGTGGCACGTTGCATGGCGTATTATCGTCTGCTTTTAGCACCCGTGTACTGAAAATCACACTAACCTGATCTGCAAAATGCAGATTAACAGGGAAACAGCAAATCAGCGCATTGCATTATGGGAAATCAGCATCTTAAAAGTTGACCAATGCATTAAAAAGGACATTTTATTATAAAATAAAGGCATATTGACAGATGCAGGGACATCTTGCGATCCACCTTCATTCTCCCAGCTCTGTAAGGCTTTTAATGCTGCAGCATTTCACCCTCTATTTCTTGTATCTAAAGCACAAATATGAAGATGGAGAAATATGAAGATTATTATCCAATAGGACAAATGTGACCGCTCTTTAAATGAATATGGATGTGACGCACGTGCACAAACACACAGAGTGCTCCTGTAGTCCAAGATCAATGACAACTGACATTTGTTGTTTTATTTCAAATCATGTCATGTTTGATGTATTTGCGATGAATAAATCTATGTGTCACTCACAGACTGAGAATCCTTGCTGTTGTCACGGGACCGGTTCTTGGCCAGTCTCTTCTTCTTCTTGTGTAAGGGACGGGACTCCAGGATCATCTCTTCCAGCTCAAAGGTGGGGTCGCAGTGGAGGCGTCCTTTCTGTAGGGAGGGAGGTGCACAGGAGATCAGGAACGCAAACACTCACACACATGATAGTGCTGCACTGAGTGCATGAAATGCACATGTGCACACTGGTCTGAATAACACAAACGGATGGATTCCCATGCAGACAGCTACTTGAAGTCTTCGAACACTGTAGTGCAATACAGTGAAGCAGGTGCGTCAGATTATTTTGTATTATTTAGTCGCTACACATACTCATTGAGATCAGTGTACAAGGAGGGTTGTGGTGTACTTCTGAGTGTTTAATGCACGTCTGTGTGTATGTGGAGATGTGATCGCCTCGCACTGACGTTAGGAACAAATCCGGCCTCCAGCTTCTTCTCGCACACGGCGTCCCAGTTGACGTCAGCGAGGTAAGGAGATGCCTGCATGTCGGACAGGCCGGAGAAACGATGCTCCGGGTTCACTGTCAGAAGCTGGAAGGAAGAGACACACACAGACACACACACACGCGCAATGTCACATACTTCATGTCACCTTCAGAGTAGCAACAACACCGTGGCAACTCCTCTCCTCGCTCACAGCCAGACTGTCCTCTCTGGGAGGTGAAATACACTCGACAAATTGCATGCGGAGAAGTTTTTTGTGGCGGGGGTCACAGCAGAGTTCATAAAAACGATGTGACACAGTGCCCGTCTGGGCTTGAGTGAACATAACTTAGGAACAAAACAATGTCTTCGTAATCCTTCTTGGCCTCCCTGAGAGTAACCTTCTATGTTGTGCTTTGACATGTTAGATCTTTAACTACAAACACTGAAAAATTCAAACTTTCAGACGCTTCTATTCATTCCCTTATCCCTGTTTATAAGTATCACAGAGAATATGGATTCTGTACAGTGTACAAGGAGAGTTGTGGTGTACTTCTGCGTGTTTAATGCATGTCTCTGTGTATGTGGATATCTGGTCGCCTCGCACTGACGTTAGGAACAAATCCGGCCTCCAGCTTCTTCTGGCACACGGCGCAGTACCTCACGTAACCCTTCTTAGCTTAATATAACTATGAATGCTACTTAACTAGTTGGGTGCATTCGCCAGCTTGGATTATATTCGGCATCAAAGCAAACTTTTAAATATTGTGCCTGTGGACTGTTTATTTAGTGCAGTTGCTAGTTGGTAAATCTATACATTTGACCATGAAAGGCTTTGTATTGTGCAGATGCTAACACATGCTAACTGGAAAAAATTGTAAATAAATAAATCATACTTTTGAAAAGCTTTATTGAGATAGAACTCAAAACTTAAATAATACATACAGTATAGTCAACCCTGTTGCCAGGATTTCAGAATTAATTTTTTTCCCCCACAATAATATGCTTTTCTGATGTATTATGTATTATGATGCTGCACAAAACTCCAACAGGAATGCTGCATGAATTAAAAGCCTTTTCCGATGAAGTGACCATCAGGGCTCATCAGGTGTGTATTCTAATTGTGGCAGAGATCAAGACAGATGAACGCCACACACATGAGTACCTCCTGGATAAAAACTGCCTGTGTTTTTAATGGAACGGTACCGTCCGTTTCGTCCCTATCCTCAGGGCCAACGCTGGAAACAATAACAGGTTGTGTTGTTTGTGTCGTGTCAACTCTCATCCCGTGTTCTCTTCTTTTGATCACAGGTTGATTCGGTTTTCTCCTGCGGAGACAGTTGCGTTTGTCTCGGTGGAGTCCAGACACGGTAATCGATCAGCAGCAGAGCGGAAGAGACCGGCGCTGCGTCCAGGACACTCAGTCACTCAGACACAGAGCACACGTGTGCACTCATGCGCTCACTTTCACTCTGCCAATAAACGATCCCTCTTAACAAGCAATGCTGTTTCATACCAACTCCAAAACTGTGTCAGAAAATATTAAAAGAGGAGACGAGAAGATTTGTCTCGGATAAGTAAGGTTATTTTATGTGAGACCACTAGAGTCAAAAATGTCACTCAGCAGATTTATTTCTGTTTGACACAAAGGGAAGTATCTCACACAGGCAGATTTTTACTTGTCAAACAAAAGCAGCGTTTGTGCGCCGACACAAGGATAAATTACTTGATGCATATTATCGGCAGCAATACACACACACACACACACACACACACACACACACACACACACCTCTCAGCCACTTGCTCAGTTTCTGTGCTTCCATCCTTCAGATTTCCATCTGTCGTATTTCTCATCCTTTGCCCCGAGGGTCTCGGCTCATCCTCCCTCCTCCGATCCCCCCGCAGTACCTGCATCCTGTGGCTTCGGTGCTTTTCATCTCAATATGAATCCCCAAACCACCTCTATGTCCCCCCTTCTCTCCCTCCCCCTTCTTCCAAGGGAAGACCATCTGTGTCCGGGCAGAGGAGTTCAATTTACTTAACCAAAATGAAAATGTATTTCCTCAAATTAAGATATATAAAATGCTCATTGCAATTTCCTTAAGTCCAAGGTGATGATTTGAAACAGTTCAACATTTCAAGATGTACAATTTTGTATTACTGAAGATGAAGCTAAGCAACAAAACCTCCCAGATGTTAAGTTCGAAAGATTTGGAGAATTTGGCTTCAAATTTATTCAATCAATTGAATAATCGTTTTAGCTATTTTATGATATTTGGTGTAAAACAAGTCTGCTTTAGCTGCCTGACAATATGCGCATTTGTCAAATGATTCACATTGCATGAACCAAGAAGGCGCTCGCTGTGAAAAATATAGTAACTGAAAAGAAGTCCTACTCTAAAGCCAGATCACCATGAAAACAAACAAATGATGTCATACTCAGGGGCATCACTGGTATTGGTGAGGTAAATAAAAGTCGCTATCCAGAACCTCTTTCGTGATGTCATAGCGGCAAGAGATTTCCAGGCTTTAAATAATGAAGTAAATCCAACTGATGAGATGAAAGCGCTGAAAGCGAATGGTACCCGGCCGTGTCTGCCTTACCTTCCTCAGGAGGGAAACCAGGGCCTTGGGCCAGGCCGGGCTGTACTGCACACTGACTGTGCTGAAGAGCTGAATTAGGGACTCCACAGAGTTACTGGCGTGGATGTCATAGGGCCTCTGATGAGGAAACACAATTACCAAAAGAGGAAAAATACACCGATGAGGAAGAGAAAGGGGACGGGGTGTATCGAGGCCAATTCGGTTTGGTGAACTTGCGGCAATGAAAACTTCTAATGATGCCTTACCCATCCGCGCAGTACTTCAAAGATCGTCACCCCGAGTGACCACCAGTCTACTTCGAAGGCGTAGCCCGTGCCCCCACTCACAAAAGACTGGAAGATCTCTGGGGCTGAAAGCACAAATGGAAAACCACTTCTGGATCAGTAAAAAGCTTTTCAAAGCGCTGCAGGTATACGAGGTAAAAAAAAAGAAAAGAAGAAAGTGTTCCTTTGCAAAATGTCAGCAGATATTGTTCATTTCGTTTTAGCTGTGACGTGTAATCACAAGACAAGATGTCACATGTTTGCCTCAGCTTTTACAAAAATAGACCCGGTCATTCTTTTCATTCAATTTACACGGATGCCTCTTTCCGGACGATGAGTCATCAGAAATATGTTGGGAAAATCTGACAGCAGCGTTGTCTCATTTGGACAGCGTGCGCATCATCAGTTTGCCTCACGCTCACAGTTAACCATCTGTATCTTACTCTATAGTTCAAGAATACAAGCGTCCAGTCATTTTTGTAAGCTTGCTTGTGTCCAATGGGGACAATTATTGGCACAAAGCCATGACGACCTGGTTGACATGGTGGTTGTGTGGTTGCAGCAAAGCAAAATCACCCATGTAAGGCTTGGTTCCAGCTAAGGCTGTGGCTCTCTCTCCATCCTTTATTATTGTTGCTATGTTGAAATCCGTCAGGTGGGCGTGACCTGAGAAGAAGCAACCACAAAATCCATCAGGATTAAATCCAATAGAATTGTTTTATTATTTTTGAAACATGAACTTCTAAAGACACGTCCCGGATCACATTCAAAGGAAAATAAAATAAATCAAATGAATTACTTTATTGTGTTCCGTCCCTGACTCCTCTGACCGCCTCATTCGTACCCTTCAATGTCATTTTGTGCCAAATTTCCATCTCACTCCTGTCTGTACACTGTGCACTTAAAAGGTTTTGGCACTTTTCCCTGATCACGAATCACTAGCAGGACTTAACACTTAAGTAGATATCAGAATGGAACGGAGTGGATTTTTTAGACTAGCCAAAATGCATTACGGACATGTTAATAATATAAAATCTTTATTTAAAACGAGTTAGATCATCAGATCAAACCTGATTACAGCCAAAAAACAGCAATGTCTGTCACACACAAGCGCATTCAAACAGCATCAGAAACAAAAACAGGTAAGTCGAAATCCATTCAAAGGAAATGTGGAAGTTTGGAAGCCCTTTGTAATTCATTCCATTTATATGGTGCAGAGAGCTGGGAGGGTGCTATTAAGAGTTTTGGGATCTGTTCTGATGAACAGCAGTTATTATTTGCAAAGGAGATGTAATGTGGTGAGGCAGCTTTGGTGGGATGCATTGACAAACTAACATAATACAGTGATGGTGATGAGCATTCAGGACAAAGTGATGGTCGTCTGTTTCATATACACGTTAAAAGCATACTGTTATATTGACATGCTTACGATGAAGGTTAGTCCATACTATACATGTCCATAATATTGGACATCTGCACAAATACAAATATAATAAATAATGTAATGATAATAATGTTCATGTAGATTGTAAACAGCTCACATCCTTACCTTGCTCATCCAACAGGATATTGTCTGGCTTCACATCTCTAAAGGAGAAATAACAGACAGAAATAAAGGAAAATTGTGCACTTACTAACCATTGATGCAGATAAACAACCACATGTTATGTCATAAACGAGGTAACCGTCTATTCACTACTGTGACGAGAATATTATTAGTCTGCTGTTTCAAGCTGGTGGTGCTCATTCCCCAGTCAGGCACCATTATACTGCAGAATGATGACGCCGCAACAAGAGGATGTAATTGAAAAGGCACCAGTCAAACCTCGTGCGTTGAAAAGCCCACAGTAAGTTACAATTTATACAAAGTATAACGTAAAACTAAATGTATGTTAACATACTAAATACAATGTAAAATGGTGCTTTATTCTAACCAACAGGTGGCCCAGCAGTCCCTCTCAACCACGGTCAGAGCAGACAAACCCCTGCGTTTAAAAGTATGGTGGTTGGACTATATTTACTATTTATAGTGTTTCCAAAAAAAAGGGGTTTTCTCCCTCAGTTATTTAATTTCTACATATTCAATGCGCCTAAAAATATACTTGATTATCTTGATTCATGGCTTATTTGTCCCTCAGTGAAACTGCCTAAAAACCTAGACCTGTGGGCCGGTAGGAAAGGCTGTGAGATGTGTACATGAAGTGTGGAGCGCCTGTGGGAGGTGTTTGTGACCTCGTGCGTGTGTGAATCACTGTCCGTGTTGGTGCAACACGAGGAGCGCACTTTCATTTCCTGCATTTCAATCACAGAACATCACCGATCCCCCTGGAGGCGCTCCCTGGTTTGTCTGCACATGCTTGTTACACGAGGCAAGCCATGCAACGACCGACAACTCCACACACACACACACACACACACACACACACACACACACACACACACACACACACACACACACACACACACACACACACACACACACACACACACACACACACACACACACACACACACACACACACACCTGGACGTCTCCCGGTCCCTCCGAGCCCTCCACAGGCAATTAACAGAGTGCGCACAGCTTATTTAATTATGCCGCGCCTCTCGCTGGTGAGGAGAATACACACGGGGTCCGCGGAGAGCCTCCGCACCTCCCGCAGGACGCATTTGCTCGCTGTATCAGGCTGTGCAACGCTAAACTGATGCAAATATCGTCTGCCAAAATTCCTAGAGAGGCGTGGTGGAGTAGGTGGTGGTGGGGTTCTGGGGGACGGTGCTTGCATGTGCACAGGAGGAAGCCTGGAACCGAGTGCCAGCCACAGCACTGCGTCGTTTGATGTACAACACGTTCACTCATCTCCCAGCAAGCAGGGAAAGACCAATCCAACATGAAACAATATTAAAGGGAATTCTAATTCTGTACAGGAACATCCCCCCCCCTCCACGAGTGAGCAGCTTAAATACGTGGAGTGTATGCATGATGAAGACACACAAAGCAGCTCGGGGGAGAGGGGACTTTTACTTCTTCTCATCATCGGACCGGTTTTCACCTCTTTGGGCACGGTGGCGGCTGACTGTTGCTAGGAGACCGGAGACCTTCTGCTCTTTCAGTTGGTGCAACAAATAATTGTATAGTATTCTCCTGTCACAAACTTACAGCGGTGGAACTAAATTGTAGAGCTGGCGTCGGCCGTGGATACCCAGATATTGGATTAGGGCTCGGAGAGCCGACACAATGGGGCTAAAGGCAGACCATCCATGTCCAGGAGAGGGTGGAGGGATAGAGAGCAATGACACAAGCGCCACCTGTCACCCAAAAAACAACGCCAGTGTGTCCACACACACACACACACACACACACACACACACACACATGGTGCACAGCAGAATTATCAGATGACGGGTGACTCACACGCAGGTGCACACTAACAACTTATAAATGCACACGCGAAAACATGTTTTTGTGATGATTGTGATGCCTGAAATGTTAATTAGTTTGCTTTTAACTTGAGTAACCCTTTCAGAACGTACAATGAAGACGTATACCACTAACCATCAATGAGTCTTGATGGAAAATTGTCCTTGCAATGAAGTTGCCTGGCAACCAGTGTGATGCTCACAGCCGAGACGTTTTTTTGTTCCTGATTTTGGACGGATTAGACAAAGGAGACATAACATCCAAACTAATGAGTTATTGAGGGGCTGGTGGCTCTATTTTTTACCTTTGGATAAAAGAGATCCAGGCTAGCGTTATGCTAAGCTAGGATGAACATTTCCCAAAAGGTTTCCATTCAACAATTATGCTTTGCTTCTTAGACAGTATTAAAAATATTGAAAATAACTAACATTAACACTTTGATGGACACGGCATGGCCGGCCGTGTGTCTGATGATACAGTTTTTGTTGCTAAATGTGGAACCATATCAGACAACACGGGTATATTTCACTCATATCATACAGACAGACATACAGGCACACAGTTGTGTCTTAATTACTGGCTAAAACATTACATTCACTTCCATTCAATTCCAGGAGCGCTATACTAACCGTTACCATAAACACCACCGACCTAATCAGAACCTCCTCCTAACCTGACCTTGACCTAAACAAACCCTAACCTTACACTTTAAAAGTCTCCACACTAAAATGTAATGATTTACATAACGGGGGAGTGCAATTTGTTCCCCCATTTGGTCTCCAAAAGGAAGGCAAGCTTTATGTCCCCACAAGTCAGGTAAAACACACACACACACACGCCTACATGACACAGTTGTCGAAGGAAGAAATGCAGCCCAAATGAGATTTTGAGCAGGGTTCCAATCGTTCTTCAGCCATCTGTGGCTGTAAATCTGCAGGGATGCGGCTCTTTCACTTACTGGACTGCACAGACGCATACCGCCACGCTCAGCATATTTGGACAAAAAGACCCGCGGAGGGCGAGTCCCACCCTGGTTAGGGATGATGGATGTTAACAATTACAAGAACAAACACCAGGACCGTCTTTATTATTGAAAAGTAAGGGAAGTAGAAACAGGGATGCAGAGATGAGGTAATGCCTGCAGCCCACACAGGGACAATGGACGGAGGTCTCCTTCCGCTTGTTTGATATATTTGTCTCATTTTTAACCTCTAGATAGAAGACAATAAAAACAGAATATGTTTGATATAAATGAATAAAAACATGACCAACCCCTCTACTATCCATCTGAAGCCTTCTCAGGAAGAATAAGTTGGTGTCATCTGAGCGGACACGGTCAAGGTGGAGGCAGGTTGGATTAGTCAAGAGGACATGATGAAGGCGGGTGTAAATAAATACATATATACACAGACTTGAAGAACTGCCCATGATGCTATTTAGAAAGGCTCTGTGACTTTGTGGCTCTGAATGCTTACGCAAAGGGGAGAAAAGCCTTCAAATGTTTTTGGAGTTGAAGACCGGATAATAAGGCTGCAAGATGGAGAAGCAGAACCCGATGGAGGAAACGAGTTGAATGTTAAAAGTCAGAGACGCAACCTTGAGAGGATGTTCGGATTTGTTTCAGTGCGGAAACAAGTCCATGCTTTGAACTGAGAGGGAGGTTTAGTACATCTGATGAAACAAAGCATAGTGATGTAAGGGCCTGACACTGGTGCTTTGGGTGCATCGGGAAAGTGCTGCTAGTGGTACTTTAATTAGTTTATCTAAGTCTAACCTGTCTCTCTCTGATCTGCTGTTTGGAAGATTTAATCAAAACCCAGAGAATAAGATTAAGAGGCCTGTTGCCACATTGGGTGTGTCAGTGTCTTCCATGAGTGACACTTTATTTAAAGTAAAACACCAGGTACCAAAAGAGGCTGTGCTACTGGAGCTGTCAGGATTTTTACTGCGCGGTTATAGAGACCAAAATAATTTGCAATGACAATATCAAGAGAATTTGAAAAGAGAACAATAACCCTCAGTTATATTTAGTTTATTATGGGTTTGTCTCTTTTGGCCAATGAATTACACTCAAAATATTGGTGGAGTCAATCGATCATGACTCCAAATAAAGCATAATCATTACTCACTATATCATCGTAAGAGTTCCACAAAAGGTTAAAATCCTTAGCGGAATATCCTGGCTGGACTTTTGTCTTTGGAATCCATCAATGTGAATTCCATGGTACACTGAAGCTGAGAGACCCTTGTGAAAGCTGTGTTTTTCAAAGAGGCGCAGAAGCTGTAGGAGATCTTGACTTGAGGATCGCATACCTATGGATGATGTGCTGGTTCTGCAGGTAGTCGAGCGCCAGCGTCATCTCACACAGGTAGAGTTTGACGGCGTCCTCGCTGAACTGAACGCTCTGCTGCAGGTGGTAGCGCAGATCTCCGCCCAGCAGCAGGTCCACCACCATGAACATGTCCTCCTCATCCTGGAAGGAGTACCTAGGACCGGGGGGGGGGGAGGGGGAAGGGGTGGCAGAGAGGACGCAGTGCTCACTCGCTGTCCAGTGTGGTAAGAGAAGACACCAACACACAACGCATCGGGTTTGTGTGCGCTAGCAAGCGGTAACAAAGTAGGCAACGTGTGCAAAAGTCACACGGACACACATGCGTGTTTGTAGAAACAACGAGCACAAAGGCCATGCAAGCGACCCGGGGGATACATGATCTATTCATGCATCCTGCGGTGTCTCCTACCTAAATACCTTCATATCGGCAACCCATCTGCATAATGCATTGTTCCGTTTGTCGATGAATGCATGAGATGGTTTCTTTGTGAGCGCGCACCTCCTGGCAGGCTCTGAACGTGGACATTGTTGTGCCCCGTCGTTGAATGAAATGTGGAACGAGAAGAGAATGATTGTCAAATTACGTCTGTAAAACAGCCCATCGTGGCATGAAGCGATGTAATTCGGGGCCGCTTGTGGTCCGCTGCACATTTTTGTCAATCAGGCTTACTAATCACGCACATCACAGCAAAACACTGCCTCCCGGTGATTTGGGTGGGGGGCTTTGTAACACTCCACTCCACAATTTCTGCTCCAGGCGCTGAACAAAAACATTAAGCCACACGGGTGAACAATCCGTTTTTGTAACAGAATCAATTCCTCATCTAAGAAAAAGGGTCAGAATAATGTCTTAATAGGTCCCCTGGGTCCATTTGCTGAGGAGGGAAATGAGATTCAGCCTTATTGGTTTCTTCTATCGAAACTCTGTTTTAATTTTGTCGCTGCAGAGCCAGTTCTTTAAGCTCCATGACTATGCCAATAATACTTCTTTAAATAGCTGAGGTTCCCTCGGTGTCTTCAGGTTTTGCCTTCAAGACTGGGAGACTGACTAAACATATCCAGGTGCAATTCTCCTCTCCATGAGTCAGAAACGGGGGCCGTGTTTGCTAACAAGAGAAAATCATTCCATTCAGTTTTGAATCACCATCAGAAAGTTCTCTGAACGAGACTTTCCCCGTTTCGTTTCTGTGAGCGAGCACGCGATGGGAAATGACTCCTACGTCACGGGACAGTAAACCCCCCTGCCCTCCAACCCTTCAAGGATCAGTCGCACTGTTTAAACACAGAGCAGCCCCGGCAGATGGCCGGCCCCGGGATGTTGTTCCCGTTGGCAGGGATTCCTCACGGTCACCTTTTTATCACCTCATTGTCACAATCTGATTCACAGGATCCAGCTGATGGATGAGCTGCCTCCGGAAAAATATCTGGGATCGCGAGAAAGACTGCGGGGGGCTCGATGCGACTGTCAATTCCTTCACCGACTTTTGCTGAGGTGACGAGGAAATGACACGTGGGTAACAACAGGAGTAGCCCGCCACAGACAAGCCTCAGGTCGCTTTAAAACCCTGCAGACAGCAGTTGGCCAAAGGTTTCTCTCAAGAGTTTAAAAAGTGTGTGCCCTGAACACCAATACATAGGGTTATTGTGCATTATATTTCTTTATGAAAGCAGAACCCCGCCCCACCCCCCTCCATCTTTCTTTTGCCACCTGACAAGGTCATGCGACTCATGTCTAGTCCGTTTCTAGCATCCTCCAGCCCTAAGAGCAAAGTAGTCCAGGTGACTCGCCCCCATTTCCACTGACTCCAGCATGTTCCAGGGGGATCGAAAAGTTTGAGGATGGATGAGATATTCAATGGGTCCAGCATTCTCAGGGTCTAACATTTAGTCCACTCCCAGATGGACAGGCCTTTTCAAGGACGTGTCAAGAAAGAATCCTATTCAGGGGCCAGAACTATTTCAACTGGCTCCTTTTCATATGACGGGTCAACAATTCTTCTCTCTTTCCAGATGGCAGCGGCCCTCAAGAAAAAATGTTTTCAGATGCCGGTTTTCAAGGACGTCATCTATTTTAAGGCGATATATATTATATCCAAATTATATCCAAAGTCCAAATGCATAGAACATTTGCATTTCCGGTAACCATCTGCATCAATCATAGAAATATAAGAGATGCCTTCATAGCTACTTTTGTGACATTTGGGGACCTCTTTAGCCCGGCCCTCTGAGAGCTTCAGAGCCACGGCTGTCCTCCAAGCTCCCTCCCGATGTCTCAACTCCTCCCCGTGTCTGATGGAGTCTAAAAGAAGCTCATTTTGTCGGCTTGTATCTGCGATCTCATTCTCTTTGGTCACTACCCAGAGCTCATGCCCATTGGTGAGGGTCGTGACGTAGATGAACTGGTAAAGGTACTTGATGGGGGAGGAGGCCACGTGTAAACAGGCCACGACCAGGCTGCAACAGTCACAGCAAATAAGAGGGAAGGTTGGCCGGCTGGAAGGAGCACAAGGAACAGGCTGAAATAATCAGGCCACAATGACAAATGAGCGCGGGGAGGCAGGGAGGAGAGGGGGGGGCGGCGGAAGAGGAGAATAGTTTTTAGGAAAAAGAGCAACTGGGAAACAGGAGCAGGCGATGCCTGTTGGCTACGGGTGGTCTGCAACGTTTTCAAAGGCCTACATAAAGTCGATGACAGCGACGGGCCGGCTGGAACTGGATCACGAGACAACCCCCCCCTCCCCCCGCCACGCGCTCCTCGGTGTGAGTGACCGCTGCGCCTCTCCTCTTAAAACACACCTCCACTGGCCTACTTTCACAAGGTGCACTTCCCAAGTGTACACAGCGTCCCACAAAAGAAAGTTCTTCTTTATAACTGGCAGATTTGGCTGAAGTGCTTGAAGGCTGCAAATCCAGGGCAAAAACATCTGGGGACTCACAGCAGTATATTAGAGGAAGAGACTGCTGCGCTTTTGGAAATGGTGCATTTTTTTCCGAGGACGATTTAAGGCTAAGCCCCCTCACAGGCCTTGTTAGAGCTGCTGACAGGCTAATTTGTATCGGTTTCTCATGCAGGCCTGAGATCAATATTCCTAATGGAGGCTGAACGGGACACGCCACATCCATCCTCACTGCTCCTTTCGCTCGCCGTCTGACTCGGATGAAGGGATGGACGGTAAGAGAGGAGCCCTAGCCTATACCACCCCTGACTCACCACTGTTCTGCCTCTAAAACCCTTTAAGACGATCCAGAGGGACCGCTTTAAGCTCCGGCTCTCTCAACGGCAGCTGCTGCGACCAAACCTCGCCTCGGAATGGACTCGTTACGTCCCGCGTCCATTGTGTCCACGATTCACTGCTGCGTTGCGTGGCCCTCTGGGAGGACGGGCCACGCTGCTTGAGAGTGATCCGTTGTGATGCGACGCTTAAGGCGAGACGTGCTATACTCCACAGAGCAGTGGATGGCAGCTCCTGGGGGGGTTAGGGGACCCCTTGCATTTGGAGGGTTTCAAACACATGGAGATGGAAAGAAGGAAGTCGGCGTTTTCGCATGTGTCACAAATCCTTTCAAGATTTTGTGTGGATTTTTGTGTGCGCGGCAGATTCTTCTTCCTCCTCCGAGGTAATCCTCTCAGTGAACCCTCGACTCCTACACATCATATCCGTGCAGCGAGGGAATGTGTTGCAGCAATTATTGTTGGCTGCAAACTTGACATCCGCCCAGCTTAAGGCAGACGGAACTCGGCTGACGGGATTTCAGTGTGGGCTTTCACCATGTTGCGTCCTAATGAATTTTCTCTGAAGCTACGGACGCGGCTGCTGAAAAGCACGCGGGAATTCTGGCTGTCTCAAACAAAACCCCCGCTTCCGAAACAGAAAGTGTGTCTTTGTGTGTAGGTGAGAGCTGGAGGAAAACCTTCTGCACATCTTTTTTTTTTTCCTCTCTCGACCAAATCAAGGCTTCCGTAGCGCTGTCTTTGCGCGCCCCCTCCACCCTCATCGTCTTTCTGTGATTGAAAGAGTCATTACTTCCTCCGACAGCTGTTTGGTGGGTTTTCCCGCATTCTCTCTGTCTTCGGCTGAGTCTCTTCCTCTGGCACAAATAAAAATAAAAACACTCCTATGAAGCTCCATCAAAGCCGGCGTTTCCCGTGACTCCATTTACTTTTTTTATTGTTGCTGTTGCTGCTTGCTTTTTAGAATCGGCAGTTTCCAAAAACCCCAGCTGGTCGATCGCACACCCATTAATAATAAGCCGAGGTGCCAAGTCGCAGGGCGCCAGGAATCAGAAATGATCTGTTTGACGAGCCTATGGATACTGGCAACTCGCCGACCTGCAGGGGATTGGTTACACACCACACCCACGCGCTGAACCAATTAGGTGAAGCGGCGCTCTCTGCGTTCCCATCTCATGGCCTGGCTGAGACGTTGTCTCAAGGGGCAGCTGGGTGGAGCAGGCGGCCAGTGCGACGCATTCAGGCGCGACACCCAACAATGCAACAACGAGTGTCGGCTTAAACTGGGGTAAATCAAAGCGCCGCGAGTTGATTCCCTTTACGTCGCACCGTGTTCCCTACATGTTTGTGCAGCAAGACAGCTCAACGCCGAAGGGCTTTAGTGCCAGAAGGCGATCCTCAGTCACGTATGAATCCGTTCGCTCAATGAGGATGAATCCAATCCAAACTGCATTTACGGTCGCTCTGGTTTGCACATTGACGGGGGAACCAAAAACGGTAATAAAGACCCACATTGTCACTCCGGTGGGTTTGCGTGGGACCATATATTATCCCTAAAGACATCAACGTCAACTCGCACGCTCAACTTCTGGCTGTGTTCGCCGAACGAGGACAGATCCATATAGAAACAGCTGCATGCTGGCATCTTCACACAGCTGTTTTTGCGACGCCATCCCTCTCTTGTCACGCGATCTGACGGCAGTGACAACAGCCTGTCGGGGCTTTCGTCTTCCGCAGGCCTCACTAGAACGCTTCGCTCGGCTTTGACAGCTTCCTTATGTTTCTTGCGACGGCCAGTCGAACACCGTACAAGCACAAAAGTTCTGAGCAACGAGGGGGAACTTTATTGTGAAGAAAAGCCGTCGAAAGTCCTGATGACAAACACTAGAGCAGGCGACAATAGACGACCGACAAACGAGAGAAGCCATTGATGAACAAGGCGGGTTTGTAGTTTTGTCGTTTTCATACTTTCGGCCGGCTGAAACTCCCACCTGCAGGAAAAACATCCATCTTTAGGCATCATGCTTTGCATAACTTGGGTTGCATTCATGCGGGACATTTCTATCCCCATTGATACAATGGAATTATTTTTGTGTAGATCCATTGAAATCATTTGTTGTCTGCATCCAGAAACAATACCAGTGTGCCTACATTGATAATGTTAAGGCCACTCATTTGAAATAACCCTAAGTCCAGTTTCAATGCTGCGAGCACCAGAAAAACTCTCTCTGTGTATGAATATCACCAGAGCTGCATTTTGCTTTTAGTGTGAACCGACCCTTTCGTGTTTCTGACATTAAACATCTTGACTGTTAAACTCATGAATGTGAACGAGACGGTGGATCATCAAGCGCAGCTGAGACCGCTTGCCGAACGCGAGAGCGTTAAAGCGTCTGTCTGAGCTCATGTTTTCTAATGCTGCCCGTGCGGTGGCGCGGCCCTGAGCGGAGCAGAGACAGGAGGTGTGAGGTGGGAAACTTACTCATTCCCCATGATGCAGTTCTGCATCGTTGTCACTAATGGGGGATTTTAAATAGAGTGTGCAGGCTATGAGAGAGAAAAAGCAGAGCAACACATGCAAAACTAGAACACAGAATGCTTTGGCAGCCGCGCACACACTTCTTCAGGGAATTACATGGTAAAAAAAATACACACAGGCCTATTACTGTGCGCTCATTAAAATGCCTTCAGTCTTTTTTACTCGTAGAGCGGCTTCCTGAGCAGGTAGAGTAAAAGATAGAAGACAGGTTAAGCGTAAACTTTACACTACGTGACGAGGGGAAGGAGCTCGACTTTGTCTTGTTCGCCATCAGCACATAATCAATCCACCAAGGAATGTGTGAAAAAACTAAATATTCCTCCAGTGTTTGCCCAGAGGAGACTGGCACGTGCAATATCTTTCTACCAATTACTGGAGGAGCAGAGTGCTTTGTGTAATACGCCGTGAATGCCGTGCCAGGTCCCCAATTACATTTAGAAATGTGGCCCGCTCGGAGATGAGCGTTGAATAATGACAGAAGCCTCCATTCACCCACATATCAGACTCAGGGGAAGAGTGAGGTCATTTCAAAGCACAGTAATTACCAAAAGTGTGCTTCACAGGCCCGGAGTCGGAATTAATATCCTGAAATACCTCTGCTTTGGAACTCGTTTCCTAAAGTTAACAGCGTTTGGTTTCAAAAGAAATATTTGACCAACCTTAAAAAAAAGAATAGTTGTTATTCCACAAACGTTCAAATGTGCATGCAACACTATCAGAACACTACTCACTAAGAGTACATTGATTTTAGAGCGAGCATGCATTTGTACATACAATAAATATACAAAATGCACAGACAGACACAGCAGGCGAGCGAAACAGGCAGTGCAGACCACATAGAAAGTGTAAAAACATAGGATAGTCACCAGAGATTTACTAAAAAAACATGTTCAATTTCCTGAAGGATCTCAAGCTCTCTAAAGACGTTTCGGACCTCATCTCTCTCTATGCACTGCTGCTTGTTCATGTACTTCATGGCATACATCTTCTCCGTGTCCCTCTTTTGCACAATGCACACCTGCAGAGAAGGACAGAAGGGAGAGACAAATGAGTAAATTGGTACAATATTAATACTTTTAAGTCTGGGTGTAAAATGTTCATGTGAAAACAAAAACATCACCGCTGCGGTTTGGCTCGACAAACGCAGCCACGCTGTTATGCAAATGAACGGTTTGAAAATAGCCCACCGGCGTGGTTCAGCTGTTGATTTGATGCGATTGTTGAGCTACATGCCCGATAACCCATGCTGCGACATGCCGAGCAACTCCAGTGGACTTCTTTCAGAGGTCTGTTGGTTGAAACCAAGTACCAAGCAAACCACCTTGTTTGTGGTTGTGTCAGGAAGTGGCCATGACGGGTGGCTTAACTTAACTCCAGGGAGTTAAGAAAAGTTAGGTTGTAACTTTAGTCTATTCTGCAGCCAACGAGGTGATTGAAAATGTCCTCTCTCTCCTGATTGCACCAACTTCAACACTGCTCATCCATGGATTCCCCCCCGAGGGTGAAGTATGAAAGATGAGTAGTTCTGAAGATATGCAAAGTTCCTTGCTTTATAGTTAGATTAGTTGGGTGAAAAGATGAAATGAAGAAGGGTAGGGTGGGTTTGGACTGATAGAAAACTGCTAAATGTACGGCGAGAGGGTCGCTGAGGGGTGAGAGCTGTACGGACGTTTTGAAGAGGAGGGAACGAATCCAGCCACCAATGACACTCTCAGCATTACGTGCACATGACATTTGTACGAAGAAAATTCTATCCTTTAATGTGGCTTCTCAGCAGTCTCCCTGGGGTGGTTGGATCTCATTTGCATGACTGTGGAGCAGGGATACCACCAACGCCCTGTGCTGTCAGTAAAAACGCCTAAGTGGGCCGCCGGGAAAACGCGCTTTTACAGTGGCTTCAAACACAAAATGACTAACAACACACACAGAGATGTTGTTGGGTCTTTATATTCTTTGACCTGTTTTCTTCCGTACATGGATCTGGTTTCCTAAATCGAGGAAAGAGATTACGAGAAATCTGGTTAACTCAAGTTTGATTTTGAGAGATACGATTGCTGACAAGATACTTCCAAAGCATTACTGAGGCAGCAGGAAACAACATTACTCATTGTTATGACACGCTGGATAAGCCAGGGGGTTCAGAGCCCTGGGAGGGGGCTTCTTGTGTGCGTGGTAATGTGGTTATTGTGAAAGACTCACAAAAGGAAAGAAGCTGACAACAGTTATTCACTTTAACGCAATGAATCCCGAGCAGCTGTTTTGGCTGTAAAGACTGTTCCCCGATGCACCGAGCGTAGCACTAGACCATCTAGACCATCCGGTGAAGCATTAAACGCTAAACGTGCTTCATGTGAACAGAAGGCCTTAGCTGGATCCAATTGTCCACCCAGGTCTCATTACATCTGAGACAGATGTATGGTGGTTTTACGCAGCACTCTGGCCCTGATGCACAGCAAAAACAACAACATCTCAGATAGTCCACTTCTCTTTTCTTATGTCTGTGATTCTTGAAAAATAGGGAAGAAAAGCTCAAATGAGGAGCTTTCCCTAGTTCCATATAGCTGTGCATATCTATGGTAGAATACAGTTTGTCCTATTATTAGTCTTTGATGTTCTCTGCTATAATCAAATCACCTCTGCTTTGCAAAGCAATCAAAACGATGATTAAAACCTGAAAATGCCTTTGAAATGAAGACTTAGCTTGTGGAGACGGCAGTAAAACACCATCTATTTGATTGTGCTATTGGTTTCCCCAAGCACACAGCTCAAAATGACTCGACCGTCTCTCGTTTCCTCCATCTTGATCTCCTCCAAGACCAGAGGCCCTCTACTTCTGTCACATTCATTAGCTCCTCACAGCCGAGAACCAGCAAACCCGCCTGCTCCACCTGCTTCATCAACCGTCTATGGACCACGTCCCTTCCAGTTGGGGTAAACTTGGGTAAAGAATCTGTACCATACTCCACGGCTAGAGACAAATACATTTTAGACCCCCATTGAATCATCTGGTGATTGCCGCGTATGATGTGAATATGAATTTAAACAATAATCTTGCACGTCAAAGTTGCAGTTGGTCACAAAAGTGTTCCACTGTAAAAATATGGCTCACATCTAAAAGTGATGTGATTGATGTCTCCCACTGAAGCTTGTGTTGACGACAAGTAGTCCAGTGTTTCCCATAATATAGATGTATATATATTTAGACCAGTAAAATAATTCTCTGGATAAAACACAACAGGTAATATAATGTTACATGAACATAACTAAGCTAGTTATGCATTTTGACAATAACAGATAATTTTAGCACTTTAAATTGCACTAATTATACTAGTTAGACAAAGGTGGATTATTTTTCCTGCTAGCCAGGTGTAACGAGCTTCGACTAGTTAATCAAGCCAATGTTAAGCTCCACGAGTCGGTGGGAAAAGCAGATGCTAAAGCTACATGTCCAAAATATAATTTATTTTATCAGACCAGTTTGGTCCCTAAGCTTATACTCATAGTTTCAGGATTTATAATTTGTCATCACATAACACTATCTTATGTTATATTGCATTTGGGCCGCTGACGACCTGCAAACCCAAACGTAGCAGAGCGGCTAACGTTAGCCTGGAAGCTGGTAACCTCCACGAGTTGGGAAATGCTTTAAACATTTTTTCAAAGTAACCTTTAACAACACACAAAAAAAGGTTGCTACTGAATCGGTTATGGCTCAAGCAGAAAGATAATGCCCAATTCCCATCCCCTGCCCTTTCAGAAGTATCAACAAATCTGTATGGACATTGCTATCAATATTATTGTCATCATCATGTCGAATTGGATAAATGCTGAAGCCAAAGACGATCACAATATAGCAAAGACATTATTCCAGAGGATAAAAGCCAAACATCCCTCTATTTAGAAAGTTGGAATATCAGCAGAAAATGTTGCATATTGCCCCTTAACATTCTATAACGGTCATTGGATTTCAAGCCTCACTATCAATTCAACCCACACTTCCAGTTTAGATTTTTTTTTTTCGCCCTTGGCGTGATAACACACAGCTCCCGGCTCTCCCTTTTTCCGTGTTCCTCACTGAGCTCAGCACAGACGCAGTTTTCTCGCTGCTCTCAGCCGGGCCAGTCTCTACCATCTGCACCGCGCTAGAAGGTAGACTAAATAAACTCCCTTAAAATCCTGCAAATAAAAATCCAAAAAGGTTATCTCACACATTTTCTGCCTTCTGCTGGTAAGACAAATAAGCCTCTTTCCCATATGCACCTTATTTTCTGTCCTGCATCAAGAAACCAAGAGCGAGGCACAGACCTATTTGGGAAATTTTTGTCATGGCCCTGCTGGGAACAAACTAGGGGTGTAACGATTCATTCACTGAATCGATTAATTGATTTATATTCCTGCGATCCAGCTGAATCGATCTGTGCTCCGCAAATCGGCATTCCGGACGACATATATCGATTCCAAATCGATTGAAATGGTACATAATCGATTGTATCGATACTTGGAAACTGCACATTGGATTTAAGTACAAAAACGGTATGGATGTGTGTGTTTGTTTGTTTGTTTTTTAGCACTTTAGACACGTTAAACGTTACTGGATTCAGTCTGCCTGTCTGTGACGTCATCAGTACGCAGCGGCAGCCGCGCGAAACTCGGAACAACAACAAAACACAGCGTGGAGGAGACGACTGCGAGCGAGACTTTACAAACCAACTTATCGATCCAGCGTGTGGAAACATTTTGGCTTTTGCAAACACGGAGGTGTTCTAAATAAGTCGGTCGCTGTTTGTAGAATATGTAGAAGACAAATAAAAAAAACACTGAAACACGACGAATCTTTCCGGCCATCTACTAAGGCGCCGTGGGATTAAACAACGGCGACAGTCAGGACCTCGAGCAGCGTCACCGCTGCAGCAGCAGCAGGTAGCTCTGCAGACACCTCAGGCCTCGCCAGCACCAAACTGAACATCACAGTAACAATTGCCAAGTTTATCTGTAAAGACATGCGACCCTACGATGAGGTTGAAAATCCGGGGTTCTGTGAATTGATCCAAACATTGTGTAATTATTGTGTAATGTTTACATTGAAAATGGCACTTGATTCAAATAAAAGGTTAATACATTTGCCATCAATTGTTGTTTGCTTGTTTATAATTTCCATAATTAATTTAAACCTGATTTCCTTACAAGAAACAACAGGGATCTCAGAAACTTTGCTCTGAGGAGTGTTTAAAGAATTGTCCCTCGCTCGCAACTCTTTTAACTTAAATTACTTTGCAACCGAATGGAATATGATCATTGTGTTGGATCATCTATTTAAAGCCAGTCTGTAGCCAGAGCACACAGAGACAAATGATGGGAAATAAAATTTAAAATCTCTCATTTAGAAAGTGTCAATGGTATTATAAAGTCCATGCATGTTCTCAGTTGTGGCGTTTGTCATGAAGCATCATCTCTCGGTTTTATTTTTGACGTGGCTTCATTTAGGTACAGGATGTGTCCCCTGTCTATGGAGGCTGCTGCCCCATTTGCCCCTTTCATGGCTCCCTCTGATCCAAATCATATTTTCACCATCAGTTATTATTACCATTATCCTATTCTCATAATTACTCCTATTCAACTCATTACCTCAATTAGGCGTTCAATTATTTTGAAGACGAAGTTGCGGCGGGATTCTAAATCTTTCATCATCTTGTATTGGGAATTATTCACTTAATGTAGGTGATTTGCTCTGCAGGTTTGGTTGATTTACAAGTACGTCTGAAGAGTTATAATATGAGGAAATTGTAATTGCCTGTTACCGAATCTCCAAATCCATCCACGGCCAATATTTAAGGGGCTGCAGTGTCGGCAGCCAACAGTCAGTCTGATAAAAACCCAGAGGCGCCAGAATGGAGTTAGAATTGAGAGATGACTTCTACAACTGAGCAGTTTCACAAGTAGCCAAATAACACCCCACTAACGGTCCATTTTGTCCTGAACCGTGCGACGTCAACGAAAGCCCATTTACGTGCCTGAGAT